ACACACACACACACACACACACACACACACACAATAAATGATCAAAAATTCCACCTCTTTCATTAGCATCCCATCATGCATCATTATCCTTAAGAAGAATATAGGTTACGTGATCAGCTTTATAGGATATCACATAACAATATATGAAAGGAATGGTCGCATTCAACTCGTTGATGCTTATTAACTTGTTAATTCACCTTCTTTCACCTCATAGAACCTGAGGAAATCACACGCATATTTTGTATGAAATTTCCCTACAGATGATACTTTATTGGACCTCTAGGAAGATATCAAAAATGTGCTTTCCATTTCTCAGTTCAAACCTATGATTACCATGTGTCAACACTTACATTACACAACAAGAGCAAATATAGCAGTGGTTTAATAACACAATCTGAAGAAGCTCCTGTTTCATACCTCTCATCCTGAGTGTCATTGTGACTGGGCAAGTCATTAGAAGAGCTATCTGCAACTTGCTGGTTTCGATCTCCTATGCTGGCTTCACTGGCGGGAGAAACGCGACCGCTGTTAGAGGAGCCATCTGCTTTCACACGCTCCATCACCTTTGATCCCGACCTAATGAGGAATCGTTTCCTGGTTTATTTACTTCATAATTCATCTCGAGCATAATGTTATAAGTTAATGCTATCTAATAGGTATTTGTATAAATATTTTGCATAACATACTAGTATTTATGCAAAAGAATTAAGTTTTGGTGAAGGGATCAAATCAACTTGAAAAGACTAAAAATATATTTTACATAGGTGACAAAAAGCAGAAAAGTGCGATAAGGGAAGAATACAGGAATCAAAACAGTGCAATTAAAACAGTGCACTTGTTACTTTTGACAATGATATGAAACACAAAATCTATCACCCCAATACCATTAAAAAGTTACTTTGGGAACCCAAATCCATATAATGGTGATTACAGACAAACTACTAACAAATTTTCTTTACATGACAAAGCAAAATTGGAGATAGCGGAAATTTCAAAATAAAAGCTCTTTAAAAAATGGTAAAAGTTCATGCAACAGAAAATATGTTACCAGTAGTTTGTTCTATCACAGGGTATTTCAGAAACATATTTCAAAGTGAATATTTAATGCTAATAAGAAAATTTAGCAGTGAATCCCAAACTGCTGCCTTCTCTTTCCACATAAAAATATCACCTATAATAATAAATTGAACAAAAATTAAATGAAAGTCAGGTTTTTAACCAAATCGATGATGACCCAACTGCAAAGGCTGAAAATAATACTCCAGTTGCCAGAATGACAACTTTTTTTGCTAATTTTACTACTTATTAGTCCAAAATGTTTACCACCTTATAAAATTGTGAGTCACATTTAAATTATTTGGAACACTCTTACTTCCATTCAAAACCTATCTCCTGTTTTTCTCAAACCCGAAAGCACTGAAATAATTTATCTTCATAAATTTTTCTTCTTGTAGATGCTCATTACAAAAGTATTTCAACTTACAATAAAAGAGGTAGCTTTCATTTGGAAAACACTACTATAATGGTGACCCAAAAATGAGTCCTATAGCCAAATAACAGTAATTTATTGTCAATGAAATATAAATTTGCTTCAATGAAATGGTAAATGAATAGAAAGAACTGACAAAGTAAATTCAACACTTATTTTCTCTTTGGAGTTTGAAGAGATTTCCCACAGAAGTGTTGCTCTCTTTACTGTCCAATATTTCATATCCAATATTAGTTGTTGCAGGTTAACCAAAACATATTGAAGGGAGAGGTCAATTTCTTGACATTTGTTTTCAGGAAATATGCCAAGAACGACACCATTTCTGGGCCACTGGAGGTTTAAGAAGTTTCAATTCCAGTGAAATTGACCATAGTTCTAGAGTATTCTCAGCAGTTGATTCAATTGGTGTAGGTCATTTTAACTTGTTATTTTATATAAAAGGAAAACCTAGTTCAAATGAGAGTAAGAATATTTTTCAAAGTGAACGCTTGACAGTAGATAAGTATCTATTATTATATTATATTCTTATGTGACTTATCTATTGACAAAGATAAAATTAGTCTTCAGATGAAACCTGTACACTTCAAGAATCTTCTTTCCGGTAATGATCATGACTTGCAATTGCCCCTCAATTATTATTTTAACTGTTCCATATTACCCGATATAGTTCTTATAAGCTTCTCTGTTAAATTATTTTCATCAACTATTTAATATTGAACTAAAAATAACTTCTCTATCAGTCAGGGATTTTCCTCTTTACATGTAAAGGTCTTTACCTTCTAATTGTACAGCATTGAAGCAATTTACATAATTTTAAAAGACCTGGTTCATTTTAATGCACTGCATGGTATACCAATTGCTTAAATCTACCACTGAGCTTCCTCGTGAATGGTCCAACCAGCCGGGACATGCACTGACCTGGGTATGGGACGCTCCTGCATGCGGTTAGAGCCATGCTTCTCCTAGGGACAAAGGACAGGGCTCAGCCACATATGTACACATATGTTCCTTCCCAACTCCTGATAAGCCCGCCCATTTGCCTGCCTGCCCACCCAAGCACTATTTTCCACTGGCGTTGAGCGTCACACAACAAACACGAAACCACAGGGAGATCATGATTACTGCTAAAATAAATACACCAAAATTATGCTCCTGTAGCTGCACACTTCAGGAGACAGAAAAGTACATGAGCACGCCAGTGACTACCTAATTTTAAAGGTATACATAGAATACAATTTAATCATTTTATAATGAGAGAGGGATTTAAAATTAATATCTTCATTAATGAAAGCCAACTTTTTCAAGTACTACTCTAATATCAAAAATATTACAGCAGGAAATAATTACATAAAACCAACAAGTTAGCAATAAGAAATCTTAGGATATCACTGGCCTGAACATTCAGTACAGAAAGAATTTTTCTACTGCATCTGAAAGAGAAGTCAGGTAAAATGTTTGAAACTTGCAAAAGTGTGCAAAATGTTTCATGCACATGTGTTTGAAAGAAACAATTCAGATCCCAAGACTAGTACACGATTATGCTATCAAGTTTGGTTACAAAATGGAATTTGGCAAAGCAGGGGAGCACAGCACAAATGCAGACATGCTACAAAGTGTCATGAAAAATACAAGTGCACAACAAGCAGTTAAATTTAATACATGCATATTCATTATTTATTTTTATAATACTATCAAGATTATTTACATCATTAATATCAGTGTTTCACAATCAATGTAGCAAGACAAAGGAAATATTTCACTCATTCTCATCCCACAATGAGCTGATAGTGCATTTTTCAAGAATCAAATTATTTTCTCTGTAAGCCTAAATCTTATTCAGAATGATAATATTATTAAAACTGAATGATTAAACAATTGTAATTTTAAGTAAATAATGATTTTGCCCAGAGTTATAAACGAAACCTACTTGATACAAATGTTTGCTATTGCCAATGATCTCTTCATTCACAATAATTCACCTAGGAATAGTTTTATATACTTTTCCACTAATAGAGTACCACTTTTCTACATTAATATTGGATTATTTCATGATATGAATACTATTTAAAAAGAGTGTCATCAAAGCAAATTAGGGAGCAACACTCATTCTCCTTAATGATTTGATAAATGGTTTTGTTTGAATAAATGAACTTATAGACAGAAGAAGACTTGAAGACATAACTTATACCTTGTTTATTGTTCATAATTCAAATAATAAGAATCTATTATTTGAATAATAATTTGAAGAGTATGCTTGGAAGTATAGAATAGAGCAAAAAATAACAAAAAATATATTATTTCCATGGTATCATTGAGAATATCAACAAACTGCATCTCTCAAAAAGAATTAACAATGAAATGTGGACCAAGAAATAAATAGCATCATATAAACTAATAAATTCAAAACCAAACTGAAGTATTCAATCAGGTTAAAAAAATCAATCAATATTTTGAATATTATTAACATGTAGACTTTCAAGCTAAAACAACCATCAGTAATCTGTGTTTTTATTACATTCTAATATGTAATCTTTACATAATAAATTTTAAAATAGATATGAAGTCAAAAGGTTTTCAAATTTGAGAGATTAAAGTACAAACAAAAATAAGAAATTCGTTACAAAAAAGTAGTTTAAAACTTGATTTTGTCTTTCTCTTTTTAAACACTTAAACCAACATTTGTTATGAAAATCAAGTAACAAAGGCAAGACTGAAATACCTTGGAAAGAATGTATTTTAAAACTTATGCTCAGAACAAATTATTTTGGCCTTTCAAATCTTCAATTAGCTCTACACATGTCATACATGCACGCTATTTCATGTCATATTGTCATTTAGGATAGTGAAATCAGTGCCAATGCTTCTGCCATTGTTCTGCAGCTGTCATCTTAGTATGATTCTCCTGAAGAGCGCCACAAAACAACTGCTGGAACATAGGCACTCTTGTTTGACGTATGGTATCACCTTGACAGTACAGACTATTTTTGTTAAAAATATCTATTTGCAGAGGGGATCACACACATACACACGCCCATCACACAAACCCTCATTGAAGAGTGCAAGCTAGGGCAAAGCAAACCTGGGGCGAGGCTTCTCAAGGGCCCGGTTGCTGCCCAAGCGCTCTCGGAACGGAGAGTTGCCCACTACGCTGGTCTGCAAGAGAGCAGGCACAAAAACATCAGGACACAACATATTCCATCGCCAATGTTGCTCAGTTGTTGGACACAACCCACAGCCTCTTAGCTGCCACCTGCTGTGGGAAGCCACTGTGTTATTTATGAGAGACACAAAAGGTCCAGTGTTGAAGGGAGAAAAGAGAAAAGAAAAACAGGACTGCAAATGGTGAAAAAATTGGCAGGTGATTTCCTAGGAATGATTCACATAAAATTGCATGCTATAGAAGGAAATACAAATACAGTTAATACAAGTTTGTCTAGATAAATCAGTTATTTAGAAATAATACATTATCTGAAGTAGTGGTACTATCCTTTAAATGCAACTACAAACATGCTCTTTTTGCTACAAAGCATTGCAAGGTACAAGATACAAGGAAAGTGAAAAAGTGCACAGCTAAGTCTATGCACATGCATGTTAAAATTAACATAACGTGTGATCGAAGATTTGGCTCTTCTTTATAACTAGCCACAACATATGTTTATCTATTACATTTGGTGAAACACTACTTTTCTACATTCTTAATAGGACATTCCACATAACAGAAGCATAATCTTGAAACATAGCAAGACAGATGGAAGTACAACACATGAACAGAACTTGGAAGGGTAGGAGATATAAAGGAAGGGAAATGCTTTGTCAACGCCCTCTCTACCCAGAGGAAAGGAGCCAATTGACTGGCCAATGCTGCAATTGATGCAGCAAGTGCGCAGATGCACAATGCATACTTGACGCCCAATCCAGCACTAAGCGTTTAGCAGTTCCCAAGCGACAAGGCCATTGCAACAAGTGTGTGGACACGAAACGAGTTCTGATGACACTAACAAAGACACTGAAAGAAAAGAGAGGCAGAGTCTCTCAATACAGGGTGCAAATAAACGATATGAGATTTGAAAAAAGGAGCTCTCGAAGACAAAAAAAAAACAACAACATGAGTTCAAGGGCTTTACAAGAAATTTAACAAATTTTAGAAAAGTAAATTAAATTCAGAGCACTGTATTATGTTAATACAAAGCAACCAAGTAATGCTTTACTCAAAAATGTAAAAAGCCAACAAACTGAAGAGTCTGATGACTCTGGGTGTGACAGCTGAGAAGGGACAATCTTCAAAGACACCTTGCTGGATGATCTTAAGGCATCTGATCCAAATTGAGGTTCTCAAAAAAACTGAAAATGAGTTCATTCACTTTTGAAAATATTTGTGACAAACAAACAGTACTAAAAAAATGTGTATTGCATAAATCATTTGAAATTCTGATCATATAAAAAATAAACCATATTATTTTCACTTTTTTAACACCATTAAGATGAAGTTGAAGTATCTGGACCCAACGTTCTTTGTAAATCTTATTTTAAAAATTAAAGTAATTTGATAATTCCACCTAAATTCAAATGCCCAGGACTTGAACAAAATAGCCCATACATTTAGCAGGTCTGGCATTTTGCATGGGTAAATATTCTAATACTGGTATGAATTTATTAACAAACAGAAAAAACTTTTATCTGTGCAATTAAATTTCACAGAATATCAAATTGTCAATACAATTTTACCTAGATTTTGATATTCTGCTCATTTCTGACCACCCTTGTGAGTTACTTTGAGGTACACATAATGGATGTTTCAGAAACAGTGTAACGTTTTTGAGGATTGCATGTGTTCCTGCTGAGATCTTTAGGGCATAATCTACACTACTCTACATTTTCCATCTTAAATCTGTTTGATTCACCCCTGTGGGATTGTAACTTTTCTTTAAGGAATCAAAATCATATTGAAATTCTCTACAGAGCAATGGAAAAGAAAGATGGTTGTGAAACTTAAAACAGATTTATATACAACTACTGCCATTTTGAAAATCGAGAAGTATGATAGGAACACACTAGTACTTTGGCTTCAGATTAGCTTCTGTTCTTTTTTCATTTATAAACAGTTAACTAACATGAACACAAATGGAAACCTATGTATTTGAGATCCAAGGTTCTACTTTACATATTTCCACTATTTTTAACTCTCCCTCTTCCTGTTCTTCCTCCAATTTTCCAGAATACATTAAACAGTGATATAGAGCATGAAACATTTCAACAAAGAAAAACAATGATCCATGAAATAAAACCCAACACTCATTATTTGCTTACTAGCTTCTGCTGAACAGGGTATTAAAAAATCTCATTTCAACAGTCCAAATTTAAAGAAGATACTATTACAACAAATGTACAAAATCAGCAACATTGCTTTCTTCATAAAGACTGACCCATACATTTCTATCACTACCTTTTTTTTCCATTGACATTATGTTAAGGGCAGGAAATATTTTATGTATATTTACTCCGAATATATATTAAAGCAAGGCCAACAAACAAAAACTGTCATGATAATTTAGCACAAGAGACAATCACCATAGATGGGATGTGTGCTGGAAACCCAAATGAATATGAAACCATAACATCCCATTGGCTGTGCAGAGGATGCTTAGAAAGAATTTCACCACTCTTAGAAAGGTAGATAGCCAATAACCATTAATCCTCCAAGACTCATTGCTAGTATGACACACACCACAAACAAAAGGTATTCAAGTTAAATAATACAATTCAATTCAAAAACAGACATTATCTAGCAAGAGTAATAATTTTCAAACAATAGCTCATTTTTTAATTTATAGGTATGGACATTTAAAACAACAAATGTATGACTGATAATTAGAATAATAAAGAAAACGTATGAAATTTCTGGTTGTTTTTGAAACCAATAAAAGTTAATGGTAAGAAAATGAATAAAATACACTCAATATGAACTAAGAAAAAAGGTCATTAAAATACATTCAGGAAAAGTCCAATCAAGTATGAGTATTTCATTCCAGTTTGTAGCAATTAGTAACAAAACTGCCTGGTAAGTAAGAGCATTGCAATTTAAGTTGTGTTTAGTGAGAAAATAATTAATCACAGGTAAAAGCTTCTTTCAAGAACAACTAGTGATGACACAAAATGTACCTTATAGAGATAAAAGAAGATTTTATACAAAAAATAACTTATTTATATAAAACACTATCATACATGTTTCCTGATTTGATGTACAAGCTGGCATGTAAAGATATTGCCCATCATTTTATTCCCATGAACATCTCAAAACTCACTTGATATGAAAATGGATAATAAAGACAAGATGTGTACTACAGCGCAGTAATGACAACAAAATGTTGGCCAGAAACCAGTCAAAATATAAGAAAAATATATTCTGCACCTCTTCATCAAAGATCCAGCAAACAGTGCAGAAAAAGCAAAGAAAAACAGCAAAACAAGACTGAACAGTCCCCAGAACGTGGCCACAGACTTTTGCACCCAATTCCCAACCATCCCGCAGGCGGTAGTCATTATAGAGGTAAGTGTGTACCTGTGCATTAGTCTGAGGAGTGACTCCAGAGATGAAGGCGAAAGGAGTGGTGCTACTGGGGGACGGGAAAATCGTACTGGTGCTATGTCGTCGGTGCACTGGCGTGTGGCGGCCGGTGCCCTGGAGTGGGCTCGCCAGCGGCAGTGGCACAGCAGGGCTCTGCAACACATGCCCAGGGCCACAGGCCCAAGCCAATAAGGCCCCAGGCTCCGAGCTCCAGCTGGTGGCAATCCAAATCTTGGGGTGGGTGGGCACAGCTCAGGGGGAACTTCATATGCTATGAGGTGATGTTCTTTTCATGACAGACTTGGGTTTGCTCAGAGGAACTCTTGGTATGCATAGTAAAATGTAAGTAAACTGATTTAACATCAAATCTTATTTACAAATATCTCAGGAAAAGCATAAAACACAATTCAATTTCAATACATCATATTAAAAATCTTCTAAAATATAGAATTTTCTCACATAACAATAGATTTAATCAGTTAGATTAAATTAGAAGTGATCACAGGACAGATCAAAATAAAAATATTCTTCACAAAAAATATTCAACCAAGCCTTTACCAATTGGCATGATATGCTTTCAGTGAACCATCAAGCATTCTAATGTGGTGTCAGTTATTGTCTCAATAAGCATCATGATCTCTTTTTGACCTCTCATCTTCTTTTTGAGCTTTTTCTCCACAGTTGGTACCACCAATACCAAATTCCTGGGAGAAAAATTTAATAGATAAGGTATAGATTAATAGGGAGCCTCCTCAGAAACTATTGAAAAAATCATGGCCTAAAACTATGTTTTGAAACATTCTGAGTGCCTTCAACATATCTGTACGGAATATAAAACTTTTTATTTTACACCACTTTATTTCGAATGAATGTACTGGGACTGTATATACACATTACATACATAATTTTATTCAGTGCTTCAGAGTATTCAATTTTTGTAATTTTGGCAACATTTCTTAAATATAAGAGACAAAATGACACCCCCCCTTCCCAGTAATGCCAATATTGGTTTGTCAAGTGATGGAATGAACTACATATTGGCTTGGTCCTCTTCTCGTGCAGACATAATTTGTGCACTAGCACACAAAACTTGCAGAAGCCTACATTTAATCACTATACAATGAAGGTTATATTGCAAAGAATGAACTGTAGTCTGCTCTAAATAGAATTCTTTTAAATCTACTTTTTGTAAATGTAAACTGAAAAGCATTCAATAACATTATTGGAGTTAGTTGCAAAAGGCAAGATAACCATAATTATAACTTTTTTCTTCTTACATTTTCACCATTTGCTCAATGCATACCAAGAGCAGTAAACTTCCTAATGGCTAAAAGGAATGAAAAAGAGATGAAGCAAAATGCTTTAAAAAGTATTTTAGAAAGCATTCTCAAGAAAAATACCAAAAAACCAGATTAATATTTTCCAAATTCAATATCTACAGCTACTTCTATGCAAATATCCTAATTGTACACGATTTCCAGAATGCATCAAAAAAATTACAAAAGCCAAAACTAAAAACAAATTTAATTTCATTTTAAAATTAAAAGTGCATGCTAGCAGGGAAAAAACAACAAAAACTAAAAAATAACTCACACTTTGGAAGAATCTGAAACATCAATACAATAAGAGATTACTATGTATGAACTGTATAAACTCTAAGGCAAGATGCGTACAAGAAGACACACCACTGCATTTGACCTCTCAGCAAGAAGGTGGAAAGATAATGAAGGAATTGCATAAAATACTCTGATAGAAAAGCAACAACACAATCAACATACACAGTAATAATGAAGTGAAATGACAAAAAATATAATTAAAAATGTCTCTCAGCAAAAATCTCTTCTTTTCCTGTTTACGAAATATGAATAAAAATTTTAATTCTGATCTCTCCCCACACAAATTTCATAATCCATTTCTGTAATTGGCACAAAAAACTGAAATTTCAAAAAAAAACTAAATGAGACAATGAGGCATTGACAGAGAAATGATGGCAGCAAGCAGCACAGTGTTGGACTGATATTGAAATTGAGAGAATGAAGGTTTATCCCTTTACACAATGTGCTACTATGCTCCTTACTTTGTTCTTTTACTTCATGTTGAGCAATTTTGTAAACCATTTTTTTCAAAATGAAGTTTTAATTGATTTTTCTAATTTAATTTATCATCTTATGTCAAAGTTTACATTGTTTATCATTCTTTTGATTAAAACAAAATTTCAAAGGGTACTCCTTACTTTCTGGTATTTTAGTCCAACTACTGCCAACTGCCAACACTTCTTTGTCTTCCTCTAGCAAAAAAAATATCTGGAGAGGAAAAATTAATGGTAAAAACTAAAAATAAATTACTAAAAAGTTTGTAAAAATGAGCTCTCTTCAAAAAAAATGTAAGTTTAGTTTCTAAAGAATAAAAGAAAACTGCAGAAATACACAATCTTCTAAGTAAATGAATCATGCTGAAAATGGTCTTTACCTGAAAATCAATTTTGAACAATTAATTAATATTTGCATGCTTAACAATTAATCTATTTTAAAATAAAATAATTAATGAACCTTTTTTTTTGTTATGTTTAGATGAATTATGCATTGGGTAGAATCAACAAATGAAAATGTCATTCCACAAAAGAAATTAAGGTTTTGCTCAGAACAGAGAAGAGGTATTTGCTGGTATCCACTAAGAAACAAATAGCAATATCAATAATTTCCAAATGCTGCCACTGAGTATTGAAATAGTGAAATTGTTAGAAGGGGTAAAAAAGCACAGTTTTAAGACCTGTGCACACTCTACTCAGAGGCAATCTTGTGCTGAACTAGATATGTGATGGTGGCACTAACTCTGAATGGGGCAAGTTTTTGAGTAACCTCTCCGTGGACACTCTATATACCCTTTCCTCTACATTTAAACATAATTCTGGTTGCATTACCTCTTTCTAGAGTATAACCTTAATTAATGACTTCCCTCCAAAAATAGCGATTCACTATATCAATGTATGAATATTGAGACATGCTGTGTTGAGATAAGATTTCTGAATTTAATATACATCTTATTCAAACCATGGAACAATGGCGTATCCAAAGGGGGTGGGGGTGGAAGGGGTGGAAGGGGGGCAAGGGGTCCATGGCTCCCCCGAAAGGCCTAGTTTTTGTTTGTTACCTTCTTTTAATTGGCAAAATTGATTTACATATTTATTTGTTATAATTATGTAATTATTTAAAAAATAATATTGTATAGTATCATATATACACTACAAAAATCATTTAAATTTAATAACAAATATGTTTATTATTTAACAAAAATCTATGATGCCGTACCGTTCATCCAATTGAGTTAAAACTTTGTCAACTTATTGTTTGCATTTGCGCAAAGAATATAGGCTCAGTACAATGGGAATATGCATATATCTGTCGCACATAGACATGCATTGATGATTTTATGTTTATGGTGACTCAAGTGTCCCTGAATAGAAGCTCTACACACTTGCCGCACCCTTACATATTAAGTGCATCTTTGCTGCGTATTCTGCTCCAGAGATTGTGAAACGTTATCTCAGACGAGTAAATCAAATTTCTCCAAGACAGTGTCATAACTAATGCATGCCCAAACTTGTTGAGGGAGAAGGTTTTAACAACACGAAACTTCACAACCATGTCCAAACCACAACATAGACCAAACACATACTCGTGAGAAAGTCTTTCATTTAGTAAACATTTTTACAGAGCATACTGTAAAACATGATCAACAATAACATGACCATTAGCATGTGAAGTGTAATATTTTGAAATAGCAAAGCATTGTCAGGTGCACTAGTAATTATTACAAAACAGAACAATCATTGATGGATACTTTAAACGAAAGAAACCTGACATGACAATATTACATTTCAAATTATGTTCTCTGTATTTCTTCTATAGGTTTGTAATTATATTCTAGTTACTTTAATTAGTACTTTATTTCTTTATTATTGAAAAATGTGAAACTACATGATTAAAGATAAATTGGAAATAGGGTGATACAGGTTAGGTCTATGCCTCAGTGAATGGCTTTTATATTATTGTAAAAGCACCATTGTATTATATTATACTATCTAAATAAATTGAATTGATTATCAAACATTTCTATTGTGTTCCAGATATAATATTTCAATGATAAAAGGTGATAGATTTGTAATCTTATTCAACAACATTCATAAGGTCTTGAAACACTTTAAAATAGTTTTGAATACCAATTATGGTATTATTATTCAAAAATTGGAAGATCACTTCAGTGTAATCAAGGCAAGCTTGTGTGAACTTATCCTAGCTTGTATGTACAATGTGCTGCAAATACTGTAACAACATGTTAGTTTCTTTTAGAAGTAGATATGCACTGGAGTCACTTTGTTTGAATTGGTTTGGATTTTTCAAGCGATGGCTGAAGGCCTAGTAGGACAGAAATTACATTATTATAGTATAACTTAATTGTTCTCAACAATGCAAGAAAGTGTTATCTTGTTTTTCCAGATTAGAATTTCTTTTTCTAGTAATATACAAGTTTAAACTGAAAGCATTGAAATAAATAGAATGGATCATTTCAAATATGATTGATGGGTATTGTTAGATCTCACAGACAAATTACAAATAAACACTCCAGATCCTCTAGGTTACCACTGAAAATAAAATGAAAAATATGTAAGTAATGGTGATCAGAACCATATTTCTACACAATTCTGTTTAAAATATTTAAGCAAAGTTCTTACTTTTTAACATTTATATTTTTCTATTTTAGCACATGAATCACACAAAAATAAAAGAGTGTAGAGATTTTAAGGGGTCTAACATACCAAGTTTAATTCCAACAATATTCAAAAGTTAAAAACCTTTTTTGATTCTCTAATGAAACATACATTGAATCACCTAATGTAATAAAATGTCTGAAAAAACAAGAATAATATTTTATTTCCTACTGTTGCATTTAATTAAATGATAGAACTTTGAATACGTAAACAGTGAATCAATCATCATATTTTTTAGGATCATTCATAGTTTTTAGGACGCATGAATCACTACCTCTGATATTTTTTCAGCTCCATACTGAAGACATCTAGACTAATTAGTAAATTTTGAACCGTACCCGAGCCTTCTTGTGGGTGGCTGGTCGTCGAATACGATTCACCCATGTCTCAATGAAGCGCAGAAAATCTATCACCAAGTGACCTTGCTCCTCTGAGGTGGGGGTACTGTACACATCACAGTGCTCTGCACCATCTAGGATCTTCTTTGTGTCCTGCTGGTTCAATGGAACCACATATACACGGAAACGCCAATATTTCTGTGCCTGAAACCAAAAAAAGAATGCATAGTTTTTCAAACAAGGAAATACGATGGTGGTTCATTAAGTATATGTGTTTGAAGACAGATGGCGCTAGTAAGGTGATATGTAGTTATCATTACGTGCAGCAGTATCTCAGATAGTAGGAAAACAAATTTCATCTTTTGTTTGTTTTGCTCTTGCAGCCATTTCAGTATGTTGGGGCACATTGTTTTTGTGAAGATGAAGAAAATGCAGTGATTTTCCTTCTGTTTCTGGATGGGATAATGATATTAAGGGCGTGATGAGATAAAAGTAAAATTGAAGGTTGTTTATGAGGACCTCCCACAACTCATGACTACTTTTAGATATTGGTTCAACAAATTTAAACATGGCGGACAAACCATTTTTGATGATAAGCGTCCAGGTAATCTGGCAATGTGGTTACAAAAGAAATTGCTAAAAAGTCCATGAATGATTTTGGCTGATTGATGACAAGCCAGTGTGGGGTTGCTGGCCCCCAGTGGGCATCCTCCCAGGTGGTGGATAGGGGGATGCCCGCAGGTTGGATCAAAGCCAGCGAAGAAGAAGAAGAGGATGGCAATGACTCAAAAGATGGAAGAGATGCTTCACTGCTCTCCTACAGCAGAATACCTTAATACCTCTCTCCTCTCAAAAAACTGCTATCTTGCAGAAGATGATAGCTCATAAGAAGTTAGAGGAAGAAAATCTTGAGATGTTGGGCATGCACCCTATCACGCAGAAAAATACTCTATATTCACGAGTCCCAAGCAATAAACCTCAGAATCACACTAGTCTACAACAATGACTGGCGTTTAAAATAGGTATATGAATTTTGAATCTTGGAATGGGCAGGGCATAGCCATAAAGGAATCTGAAGTGTTTAAAGAATTAGAGAGATTAAATTTAGATGCTGCTGCCCTATCTGAAATTAAAAAGAAAGGGAAGGGTTTAGAAGAGATTCAAAATTAAATGCACATATTCAGTGGAGTAAAGAAAGAAAAAGCAAAGAAAGGAGTATCCATTGTCCTACGCAATCTTTAAAATATCACATAAACTAGAGGTGCTAAAACAGCACATACTTTCTTGCCATTAGTAATGGTTATGTAATACTATTTATACCATAATTTCTCTCAACATTTTTTTTTTGGTAAAACTCATTAGAAATCATAGAACATTTGATGCGAAAAATAAGCAGAATGCAAAAAAGCAAAATAATTAAAAGTTAATAAATAGTACAATATCAATAGCATTGGCAAAAAAATAGATCGAAAAATATATAATAGTAATTATTAAATACTATGTAATAATATTCTACAAATATATGAAAGGATTGGTTTTTATTACTGCAAATGAAAAGTACCCTTCATTATCGCCTTTTGTTACCCGTGCAATGATACAACAATGGGTAACACCCAACAATGACCGCTCATTTATTCGTTTTCACAATTCACGCATTTGAAATACCACATAAATGCCACATTCACAAACTCTAATCTTCAGGTATACAAGGTAAACTATTGAGGTGGATTCAGGAATATTATTGGACAGAACATTCCAGGTGGCAATTGGAAACACTGTTAAGACCTTGTGCTGTTACAAGTGGGTTCCCCCAAGGTTCTGCTCCAGGCCAGATACTTTTCATCCTATACAGTTGCAACCGAGGTGATGAGCAGTCTTCAAGTTGGAACTGCAATGCAGACTTCACAAAACTTTTCTCAAATCCACTAAAAACTATCAATGTTACAAAAAGATCTCAACAAAATGGTGAGAACGTCAGAATCTTGGTTGCTGCCTTTAAACGCCAATAAATGTATGGGTCTCCATCTAGGAAGACCACTAGAGAACTACATTAATTGGATTACGAAGGAAGATGCAGAGAAATATCACTTCTGACATGAGAACAAAGAAGAAATAGGAGTGATATTGTAGAAACTTTTAAAATCTTGAATGGCTATATTATAACACTCCTGAATTTACCAACTTCTTTACTAAAGCTTCAGAATCTAGACTTAGAGGACATACGATGAAACTAGTGAAAGAAAGGACAAGGACAGGAGAACACTCATTTTATTGTACTGAGTTGCTAATCCATGGAATTCACTTCCCGCACACTTCATACAAAAGAAAATCCTCAACGCCTTCAAGGATAGTCTGGATATTCAAAATTTTGTGATCAATTAAATGATGATTATATAGGATAACCAAGTCTACATGTATTATTTGTGATTTATGATGAAAGTGATTTATTATATAATTTCATTAACTCTTGTAAGATAAGTGTACGATGACGAAGACGAAGACGACGAAGAAGACGAAGAAGAAGAAGATGAAGAAACGACACAATTTAAAATGAAGTAACATAAATATAATATAAATAATGATATTAAAATGAAATATGAAATAATATATAAATTTTAACTTTGATAGTATCCAACTGCTTCAAAACACCTCCAAAATTATGATCAAGAAGTGCAGGATTTTCAGAGCAGGTGATTAACTTTGACGCCCAATTACTCCAAAATACTAATATTTTCGAAAAATTCAATACATTCTTACGTGAAAATCCATTTTTGTTATTAACACATTTCATTCAGAAAAATAACAGTTTCTCCATAATTGTAGTTGTAAGAAGATGCCGAAATTTTTTTCAATTATTCTTTCAGTTACTTCAATTGAACTTCAATTACAAACCATCACTAACTTTTATTCAAAAATGGAAAAATCCAGTAATATGTAAAATATGTTCTTTTGGTTAAAATATGTAAATATATGTACTCTCAGGTAAAATATGCAAAAATATTTACTAAAAAGTCAACGTTGTTTGACACTAACCGATATGAAACTTGAAGATATCGTTGATTTGACTTGACAGAGTTACGTTACAAAAACATGTTATTACGTAATTATCTGGGGCCTACGAATAGTATATATATTAAAGCCATTAGAGAGTTATATACATATAATATCACGAATATCAAGTTAGGAAATAGCATATAAAAAGAAATAAAGATAAGTAAAGGGCTAGGACAGTGGAGTTGCATTGCACCAACACTGTTCAATATCAATCTAGGAGAAGCTCTAAAAAATTGGAAGAAAAAATGTCAACTGATGGGAATAAAATGGCATTTTGGATTCGCAGTTGTAGTATAAAGTTAATGGAAACAATCAGAAAAGAAAATGTAAAGCAGCAAATGGATACAATTTCAGATGTAATGGATACAATAGAAGGGAGAAGGTTAAATTGGTACAGGAATCTTAGAGGAATGCCGGAGGACCATTAAAAACTTGAGGTGGCAGGTGCCAATGCACAGAAAGGGAGGTAACCAAGGCTTACATGGTATGATGGTGTGCGACAGACAATGAAAGATCACCACATAAAGAGGATTGGCAAAATAGAAGAAAATGGAAGTGTGGATGCGAGAGACGGCGCATGGTTTAGTTCCACTCGCAAGAGAAGAAGGTGAACAAACATGTGAGAAATAGCATAAGCCATTAGTGTATCAACGGGAATGGTAATGAACATATTGCAGAGATTGGAAATTCTTAGTTTTTGGAGAGGTTGCAAAATAGCAGGGTCATTGGGAGATTGCCAAAACTTAGGAAGAATGTACCAAAATAATGTAGGGAATAAGTAAAACCTGGATGGCTGCATCATTGCTAACAAATTTGAATTAAGCCTGGAATATTTTTAGTTTTGGGTACAAATGAAAATTTGAAGGAGACAAATCAGGTGAATATGGGGGATGAAGCAGGGTGAAGTGACACGAACTTTCTTGCCATTCCGATTATTATCTATAATAACTGCCCTGGTTCTATCAAGAACAGATGTACAGAATTTTTCAGTGATTTTCTTCACTAGTCTAACAGAAGAACAATGTCACCTTCCCTGCTGATAGAGTGCCTTTCACCTACTTTGGAGCTAATTCTCCTTTTACAGCCTTTGCAGTAAAAAAAAAAATTCATGTTCAATTTATTATGCAAAATAAAATCACTCTGTCAATTGAGATATCTGCAGTCCCTGCCAACTTTCACTAGACTGTGTGCTTAAACAATATTGTAGATTTCTGACAATATTATTATATATTAATTTCTGACAGGTTACTCAGTGGATTTGGGCTCCCGGGATGCAATGTGTTTTCAATACTTGTTCTGCCTTGCTGGTCCTTGAACCGCACTGTTTTAAAGGAAGGGCACTGAAAGTAGGTGCTATTACTTCATCCTTGTTGTTGTTGTTGTTGTTGTTTTCTCCATGAAAAAGGATATTATCACATAATAATTCTAATTCTATTCATCTCTCACTTTCACTCCTAAATGTTTGTTCAAGTAACTGACAAATAATGAGGTAGTGTAATAATGACATGTAACAATCAAAATTTTAAGCAACATTAATAATGAAGTTACAAATTCACATACACAGACACTGCTTTCATCATCTCTTCGTACCTATCAAACAGCCTTCACACAAAGGGCATGAAAAATAAATGAAAATGATACAGAAAAAAAATTGCTGTGGAACACAACTCACAAATGTTAAAATTAACACATAAAGAGTGAGATTCCTTTATAACAATCTGTAGAATCTCTCCTTACCTCAGCAAGAGCAAAATCCACATCCCCACGAGTGCAGATGTAGTGATCCAAGTAATTCCAGTTAAAGTTTTCAAGCTTTTCAGTAGTGAAGGATACCCATGACACTTCATAAGTGTCATGATGAGGAGCATGGAAACGATACCGATAATGTATGTTGAATGGTGGGTAAGGATGCCTAAATGAACAATCAAATGTAAAGGTATTAAAAATGATTGTATAAATATATTTAAAATAATGCAAATATATTTTAGAGCCAAAAATAAAATTATATGCATTTCACTTTTTTAATCCACTAAGAAAAATTTCAAGTGGTTAAAAGAATACACAAAAGTCTAAGAATAAAACATAACCAAGAGTTTTACTACATAAAAACTGAATTATTTTGACAGAAACATTAGCATTGTTTTCCAATAATATTGTTTCTATAAGCAGTTTTGATTGCTTGGGCAAATATCAGATTTAGAAAATGTTAAATAGTACACAAAAATTCAGATTACTGTTGTAATCAAGAAAAAAGACAAGGAAAAATTTTACTCATAATACAAATAGAAATGAAAAGAAAATTAAGAAGTAGTAGTAATATAATTGAAGGGTTTGTGGTAGTATCAAGAGAAGTCGGAGAAGGCACAAGAAGCCTAATTCATAAGTGTTACTTTCTCGAATTTGGCCAAAGTGTGGCTCATCTTGTTACTGCCCTAAACCCTTCATAAATGTTAATACAGCATACATAGTAACAAAATAAGTCACACTTTTAACTAAAATTGGAATATTAACTTTTATGAATAGTAGAGGGCTTGCTGTGTCTGGTGTGGTTTATCTTGTTACGGTCCCCAGCCCTTCAATTTTAAAACATTTATTAAATAATTACATTTCATGAACTTTATCAAATCTAAGAAAATAATAACCTTAAACAGTTGTCCTAAATTTGTCCTTATAGTTAATTAAATTAAAACCATAAATACAGTGAAGCAGAATGAATTCTCACCTAGGTCGATAGCGAGTAACAGTTATGGAAGATCCACACAGGGAAATTTTGTGGAATACTCGTCCAATGCTGAGAAAGTACTCCTCTGTGGGCTCTAAGTCTTTGGGGCGAGTCATAACAACTGAACTCCCAATTTGGACACCTGCTCCACTGCCTGGAGTCTGTGCTGGTTGAGAACCAGTAGGCTTAGATAAAACGATAAGCTGAAAGCCCTGTAGAAATTGAATATGAAAAAAATACTGGTTAGTTACATGTGTCTCAAGTTAGAATTGAAGTTAGATTTACTAAATATAAACATGCTAATAATTTTCACAAGAAACAAAATCAGAGCCCACACGTGACTTCAAATGCTAGTCATTTGTGCCTTGCCCATTCATTTTTCTTACAATGTTAAATTGTAACAATGTTTAATTCAATGTTACAACAATTAATGTTCTTAAGAATAATGAATGTATGTACAGATGATTCTTGCATTATCCATACATGTATTATGTACGAGGTCTTTCAAAAAAACCATTCTCACAAGAGGAGGAGCGGAGGGCAGGCTATATTTTTTCCACGAGATATATCATGATTACCTCTCTGTTTATGCTAAACTGCATCCCACTGTTAATTCAGATCTTGAAGATGATGAATTTGGGTGGTTAAACATTTCTATTGGTACCACTTCAAACTTGTTGACAGCCATATATCATCGTCCCAACGCATCTGACTCGCAGAACTCTATCCTCCCCAACACACTGTTGCGAACATCTAATCTTTGCGAGTCTAATCTTTTCGTTCTCGGGGACTTCAATTATTGAACATTAACCATAGTACCACCACTCCACATGAAAAAGATTTCCTAGATTTATATTACACCACCAATCTCCAGCAATTGATTACCAAACCAACTCGTTTCCGAGGAACTCAACAGGCAACTCTACTCTTATCTGATCCCAACACAGATAATATAGTTATGGAAGTCCTCCACCTTACACCTTTAGCTAAATCAGACTACACATCCTTTCTCATAACGGTCCAACTGCCATTCTTGACCAATAAAGTACAGCATACTTTCATAAATTTTTTCACAGCTGATTACACCTGCATTAACACCAATTTCTCCCACCATACTGCTCACTTTCTATCACCATCCCACACCACTATTGATCTCTGGAAGGACTTCAAAACTTCTATCCTAACTACACTAATTTACAAATCCCATTCACAACCAGAACAGGAGAGTCCTACAAGGGCCACAAACCATGGATGACTTTGGTGATTCAACCACTGATAGCACTGAAGAAGAAATCTTGGATTAAACACACGAAAGGAACAGTCCTATTTTATTTGCTGCTTATAAGCAGTCGCAAAACCAGGTCAATTCTGGAATTGATTTCCAACATGCAAATTCTGAAGAGGAACTTGTATCTTCCTGTCCAAAAAATGTCTACAAATATTTTAGGAGCAAATTGAGTATCAAATCTGCTCCATCTAGTACCCTAGTACATTTGGATGGCTTTATGATGTCTAATCTCATCGTGGTTCCTAAGATCTCAGTCAATCAATTCTGCAAGAACAACATCTTCCTGTACAACCAGCATGGCTTTCTTCCAAGCAGTTCCATCTGCTCCACCCTACTGAAATGTTGGAGTGACTACACCAAATTGCATCGCAAAGGATGGCTTCAAGGTTGATATCAAATATTGACTTTGAAAAAGCTTTCAATTGAGACCACCCATGAAAACCTTCTGTTCAAGCTTAAGAACTTGAGTTTACAAGGTAACCTGTTTCAGACTGTTTTAGAGAAACAGAACTTCCGAGTGAGAACTGGTGGTTTTCTCTCCTTCAAAAAGCCTGTTCTTAGCAATATTCCACAAGGTTCCGTCTTCCACCCACTCCTCTTCCTACCCTACATATACAATCTCTGTAACCTGATGGTATCCCCCAATAAGTGGTTCCCAGATGACATGAAATGCTACAGTAATATACTTGTGCTTGATATTCAAGAAGATCTCGACAGGCAATCTCAATGGTCAAACAACTGGCTCCTCACCATCAATACACTGAAGTGTTCAGTTCCTCATATTGAAAAATAACCCATGCAAACACTATAATCTTTACAAACAATATATTCCCCACTTTCCATTGCAATTTGACTTGTAACTTACGATCTCACAGGATCTTAAGTTGAGTACTCCTGTTCAATCTGCAAAAACAAAAAAGCACTCCCCCCCCCCCGCACACCCACACCCCCACATTTGGTAAACAGAGCCCTCAAGCATCTGAAGCAACTGTTCCGCAACATCTACACATGAAGCCAATAATTGAATTTGGTCACTGCATCTGTGTGTCATATTTCACCCAGGACCTGACACTCTTAGACAGGGCATGGAGGAAATTTTTGAGATATGTTTCTGCCCTGCGACACCTGTCATATCCTGAGAGACTTGAAGCATTTCACCTGTCAAATGCAAAGACCGGTTTTTGTGAGGAGATCTCATTGAAACTTACAAAATACTAAACGGTCACTACTACTGTCCAGATTTTGATGATTTCTTCCTCTGGATTACCAACTTCCACCTTCGTGGTTACTATTACAAATTAAACATAGACAATTTTTTGCACAAACCATAAAAGCTTTTTTGTTCATTGGAACTGGAATTGCCTCCCTACAGCTGTTGTCAATGCTCCTTACATTTACACATTTAAACAACATTTGAACCAATTTATACTGTTCTCTCTTGATTATCATCTACTGTTTGTTTTTTTCTTTCCTTTTCTCCTCTGCATATTGTAATTTTATATTTCTTTCTCAATTGTAACATTGTTTTATTGTGAACATCATCGTGATTGTCTTACCTGTTCCCATATTTTGTGAATAAATAAATAAAAACCTGACAGAAATCCTCAGAATAGTGACTTTGCAAGAGATGGAGGTGAATATTTGCTGTTAAAAATATTTATCTAAGTCTTGTACTTCCTGCATGTGGTAAGAATTTATTAGCATACACAATACACATTCACAAGATATGTATCACTTAGCATTATCTGTAAATACTAGATTTTTTTTTTTATTAATACTTCGTCACTATGTTATACTTGTAAATAATTTTTTTTTTTTTTTTTACATATTTTATTTTTGTAATAACTAAATTCTTGTAAATGCCATCCCATTCTTCTCTGGTGACAATTTGTAAATTGCACATAATAATGCCCTTATAGTAAAAAAAATGAATAAATAAAAATTTTAGCCAAACGTGATGTTAATGTAAATAAGACAGGCAGCTAATTTTGTATGTGAATTAATAAAAAGTCTGAACTATTTTTGAAAATGTTTTAAATATATCCCATGTCCTTCATGTAATGTGTCCCCAAAATTAATAGATTTATTTCAAATTTACAGAGCCGTGGGTGAAGCCAGATAAATCACAGAATATTCATTTTGAGAACAACTCCATGTACAGTATTAGAACTTTTGAAGTTTGCAGATGAACAGACTTTTAGAAGAAAAAACAACCTCGACATCACAGGACCCCGAAACTTGTATTTTTCATAAAATCTTGACATCAATTGTCCGCAAAATAACATACCTTTGTTTATACTATGTTTATACTACATATGAAAAAATAAAATGCACATTCAACATGAGATAGTCAAGATACGAATAAAGATATTCAAGATTGTATTCACGATACAAAATCAAGCCAGATACAAACTAATTATCAATATATTTACCTGGGCAAGTCGCTGTGATACCAACTCCCTAAAAACCTCAGCAGTAGTGAGAGGCTTTTTGTAGATAGCTCTTCGTTGGGCAAAATCAGCATTCACATCATCTGGCAAGAGATTGTAATCTGACACCAAGTAGTCATTCTGCAAACTGCGCTTGTCTGGGAAGTAATCTGTAGTAATTGGCAAACAGGCTGGAATGGTGAGGGACTTCCAATCCACACCTGCAAACCATATTGCAAAGACCTTGATTGGCACAAATGGCCAAAGGAAAACAAAAACATGCAGCTGGATTACAGAGCTTTTTGCTCACATTAAGCTTCTGTATCAGCATCTGTATCATAGATTTTAAGAACTAATTGGCCCTATATAGTAGTTACATCAAACATCTAGGTTCTTTCGTTAAGAATTAACTCAGTGTATACTAATGTTTACTTTTCTAGGAACATCAACATGAAACTTACATTTTACTTCTTTCAAATGTAAATGCAATTAATTAAAGGTAACTTCAGAGTTAATAATTAATTTTTAGTTAACCTAATCTGAAGAAAAATATTAAACTATCATAAAAGCAGGACTGAGTATCGAATAAAAGAGATTAGAGACCACAGATGAACATAAGTGATAACTGTCAGTAATGAATATTTACATAATCAAGAAATAGATTGTAAAAATTTGTGAAGGAGATGGATACAAGTGCACATATAGGACTGCAAAGAAAAGTATTTCAGTATTAATCTAGAGTATGAGCAATGAAGAGACCAAAGGCAATAACCAGGTTGCAAGCTTGAGGAATATTTTACATTAGTGTTAAATAGTGATATACTGTACCTGAGATTTCAACAGTTTACTAACGAGATTCTGGGCATGCGACAACAGAGCCAAACACAAAGCTAAATGTAATACATAATTGCACGATAGAAATCAAACAAAATACAGCACAGGACAGAGATGGAAGGGAGAATTCAATCTGGATTCTCAATCTTGCCGAAGATGTCGTTACTTTCTCAACAGTATTTGCAGTCACTTATTGCGAATTAAAAGTCATTAAATACCCATATTCACACACGCATGCTGTATACGAATGGATATAAGTTACTTTGCTTTTATTATACATTTTAAATTAACAAGTATATGACTGCTCAAGTAAATATTCCATGCTTCTACTATCAAGAGTGAACCCATAGAAAATAATTTTTAAGAAAAGCCAAGTCAGCTTGGTATTTACTATATCATAAAAGATATAGAAAATGAAGTCATGCATATTCTATTTTAAATAACAAGTGATTATATTTTGTTCTTCTTCATAACAAATGTTTGAAAAACACTCCTTTACAAATTGACCAAGTTTGATGAATTTTGTTTTTAGGGTTAAAATTTCAAAGCAAATGCAGGACACCCAATGCTTCTGAAGGTTTCATTCTCACAATAATTTCCATCATAAAATTCTTCTCTAAAATACCTTTTTTGAAAGATTACAATTTATTTTCAGATTTTCATTAACATTTAATTCTTTAATTAACAATACTTTATAAATGTAAAAACAAATTATTGTTCGCACACATTCTACAATTCACAGAAAATATCACCAAATTTAATGCTTCATGAAACCATACATTACAATGAATTTACAAAAGCACAAAGAAATTTTGTTTACAATGCCAACTCATCAGTAACATAAGTGTCCATTGAATAATTCATGTTCAAAACTATTTTCATGGCTACCATTGGTATCACAGAAAGCAAAAATATCTATCTTTATTCAACTAAAGTTCTCAAACTGTTGATATGCAATCATTCAACCAAACTTGGCAGGGTAATATATTATTCAATTCATTAAAACTAAATAAATTTTAATTGGTCATGAAACATGTTCGGTCCAGACCTCGTCAAGAGTTTGAGAACGGAACAAACTACACTATTCTTAATAAACAGCAGATTTTGAAACGAGTACCAAACCTATGACAACTTTGCCGACTGTGTTTGTTCAAATGAGTCACACGAGCACACGCCCAACAGACAGACATGAAAAAAGAACAGAAAAAACGACACACATTAGCTGTAGCAAATACAAAAATTCCATTAGAAACATTTTCATGTTGTTGGCTTTCAAGCACAACAAAAGCTACAGCAAAATGGGTCTTACATTTAAACCGCAGTAATTCCAGAAAATCAAACATGAGCTGTAGTTTCCTGTTAATTCTGAAAATGTTGCAGTCAGAGCCAGTCCAATAAATCATAGGGTTCAAATGCCTCCCCCAATACAACTTAATTATAATCAAGAAAAATTACCTATTCATTGTTCAAAGACTCGAAAGAGCTGGTCTTGACAATTTGAATTTTGACTGTTTATCAAAATAACTTCTAGGTGTGGCAAAAGAAACAGTGCTCAGGTGTGATTGTATCTTATATTCTTAATCTCCATGATAATTATTAATCTTCGTTCGGAAACTTGGAAAGTCTGATAAACGGAGACCATGATCCTCAAGCTCCGTTTATAAATTTACATTTAATCCTTCCTTTCTATTATTGATTTCTACATGTGGAATTCATATTACTAATTTAAAAAATGAGAATATTTCTAAATTTTACCACACCCATGAGCACAATCCCACTCAACCCTATCAAACGAAGACCAACCCTGGCTGCAATACTTGATACCTGGCATTTCTTCTGGTGACTGGTTAGTTCCATCTCCTCTCAAGGAACTTAGTAAAAACAGCATATCACATTGATGCAGTTATGAACCTCATCAAGATTTTTCATTTCATCCTAAAATAAATTAGATAAAATTCCAAACACCGTTAACAACACATGCGGAGGGGGGAAATTAAATATGTAAAAGCAAACAAAAGATTGAAAAAAATCTTGGGTAGAGCACAGCAGCTTCAGTAATTAAGATAAATAACTTGCTTAACAAAAGCACAAATGAAAGCATAGAATGCCATCACCACAACAAAAAGGGGAAACAATTTTTTAAACTTCACAATAAAAGGTGGGAAATTAACAAATAATATTTAAAGCATTATTTTTAGAGGGGTAAAAGCAGTCACTTTTTTAAGCAATAATCAGCCATTCTATCTCTAGCAACCTACATGCTTTCAATTTTTTTTCTAGTTTCCAGAGATACCTTTTTAATAACAATTATAAGATTATTATTTGAATTCTATATCAGAATGATCTCTTGCAATTATCCAAGTAAAATTATTTCAATGCTTCAATTTATGTTATAATTATTTTTATACATTTTTATGCATTAAAACCAACTTTAAAAAAATACAGTAATGTTTAACTCAGACAGCCAGGTTGTTTAATTTTTTATTTGTATCTTTATACTCAATCAATATTTGTTTCCAAAAATTAACACTGGTATCACTTTAAATAGCAATAATTTAAAATACAATTTGATATCAATTTTTTACAATAGCTTTCAGTATGAAATGAATCATACACAATGAATCACTTGAAATTAATGCTTTAAAATACTGCGTAATTTTCAACATTCAAGCATCAGTCATAATTAAACGTATTGGAGAACCTGTTGTAGAAACTAAATTACAGTCATATTTACTATTATAAGTGTACATACTTTCAAATTATTTTCAATTAAAACATTTAGCAATTAGACTTAATAGCCAAAATCCTGAAATCTCAAATTCTAATTATCTCCATAAAATAATTGAGTTACCGTATTTACCTGATTAAAGATGAGGCATTTCCTTAATTGGTTCATTAACAAAATAGGGAATTGTCTTATAATTGAAAATTGGGCTAGGTTGGTTGGAATTAATATTTTTGTATCACCAAGAATATCAAATTCTGATGTAACAATAGAATGTAAAGAAGAAAGTAAAGGGGATGTAAATGTAAGAAGACTGTAAATGGAATCATGAACAATGTAAGTGAAAATTGGAGGCCCTTATTTCAAACAAAAGTTCAGCTACCCCCACATAAATCAATTCTCCACGCAACAGAAATAACTTGTAAATATCGTGTTTGATTCTGTGACCAGTTAGAATTAGTTAAAAATGAATAAAATTTTCAAGGATCTCTTCAAAACCAAAGCATGATCTTACATTCTGAGTCATCTAATAGTCGGGTAAATACAGAAAATTACCTAGTTGAAAAACTCCAAATGATGTTTTTGTGCCGTAATTGTACCATTGCAATAGAGATAGCATTCTTTGTTATGTTACACTATGTTCTGCATCATGTGTTAAAGCAAAAAGATTCATTTACGATAATTTCGCTAACAATAACATCACTAATTATCCATTATCATAATAGTTATTTTTTATGAGTAATCGTGAATAAATGTAGACTGTCTTTTCTTTACATTTAAGAACATAACAATTCTACATCATTTAAATTCTTTACTTCTTCAACACCCTTGAGAAGTTGCATGGGTTTGCAGAATCTTAAGAGGGTGCAATTGAAAACACTGCAAGATGTTCTCAATATAAAGGCACATTTCTTTCATGGACACATTATTATTTATCATTATTATTGTTATTGTTATTTATATTATCCTCATCATTTGAACACTTTTGACTGAATTAGAAACATGTGCTTGATACTTTGGAATTTAATCCATTAAATTTCATAGAATTAAGCTTCTATAGAATATATCCTTACATTTCCATGATTTATTTCTGTACGCAGTAACTACATATTCTTCAAATCTCTGACTCACACAAATTCTTATATTTCATGGGTACTGTTTATACTGGCTCATTGTGGGTGCAGGGAAAAACTGTGCTCTCAACACACAAAAGCCTGATTAAAAATATTTCTAGATTGCCTATCCTTCCTGAGAAAATAAGTTTTCCTGAATTTTGATGTGGTTAGGTTCAAGAAATTGTTGAAACAGACAACTCGGTAGTGACATGCTATTCCTCTTTAGATTCCAAATTGACACAAAATTTTATCATGTCACTATTATTGTTTTATGCAACCTTTGCAATTGTGCAATGTTTTAATGACCAGCCTTGTATTTAAAACATTGTTGCTTGATGGGTGAAGGAAAGAAGTGCAGTCTATTGCCCACCACGCATCTACTTAGGGTATAAAACAGTGTCCAAATAAATCTAGAAACTTAAAATTTGTTTTTCTGGTACTATTTTTTACACAATTAATTGTTTGGAGGTTGACATGATGTGTCACATGAATGTAGTTCTAAATTGGTGGAAAATAGAATTTTAAACCTCTCCATTTCCTCTTTCTCACAAGCACAACCAGTCCCCACATACCAACCAACACCCAAATAAACACTCTACAACAGCAGTCTTCAACACTTCAGCCTTCTTGGGATGAGCTTACACAAAGCGATGTCATCACTTACCACATATTCAGGAACTAGGGGTCCGCCTACAAAAAACCTCTATCCAGCTGTGGAACTCAATGACATGGGGAATTCATTAGGGTTCATCATAATTAAAAATTCACATACATACAACAAAACACACTATTCTTACAATCTTAAACATTATTACGCAAAAATTTCTTTAAAAATATCGTAATAATTTATTATTAGTAATTATTGTATTCACTGTCATTATTAATCAAACTTGCCGATTTTTGTCAAATATACATAAGGTCACTGTTAAAATCAAAATAGTTTCTTGAAATAACTAAAATAAAGAATTTTTCTACACAAATTTATGAAAATTGTGAGAATAATCAATTCACTACAAAAGAAAATTAAAGACAATTTTTAGAGATGAAACAAAATTCTTTTTCACAGACAGTTTTATGAATATTCAGTCTTCAGAATATTTGAAAGCAAGCTTAATATTTTACTTTTACAATATGCATGTTTCTAATATGAATACAAAATGATGATTGCAAACAGGAAATGTTTATGCACTTTATTTAGAAATTATTCTTATCCTATTTCCATTGACCTATGAAAATTATTCTTTGCAAATAATTTGTAGAAAAATGATTATAATAATGAGTTTGTATTCAGTATTCTAATAAAAGAATTAAAATTGTTTATGGGTCATTGATTATAGTATTAAAATATTTTGTAGTGATATCAATATAAGATCAGGTAGAAGCTTTAAAATAAAGTTTGGTGATCTCAATAAACACATGAATAGAAATGTACAATTTTCACAGGGTCAAATTGTTAATGAAAATCTTATCATATCAGTAACATCATTCCAATGATATTGGGACAAAAGTAATTGAATTTTTAAGGTATGACAAAAGCATTGTCACTGAAAATGAAAATGAATGGCATTATGTTTTACCCCAACTTCCTTTTGCCAAAAAAATTAATCAATTTAAAACCTTATCTGCACCACAAGCAAATGAATTCCCAAGAGAAGGACCTATTCTTCCTCTATCTACGAAGCTCCCTTCAAACCTTTTTTTACCTGTGGTAAGGGCTGGGGTCCACTCCTGCTCCCCTGTTGCACCCCAAAGCAGGGTTAGGCTCTTGCCTCCAGCTGGAGGCCGACCTCCTTCTAGAAGTTGGGAACTGGGACGGCTACCACGAGCTCCTCGGACACCTAACAAAGTACCAAAAAGTTTTTGTAAGTCATTACATCCACCCATTTGGTTGGAATCCATGTGTTGATTTGCTATTTGGTTGGAACTGCTGTGCAAACATCACCAAATTACTCTCAAATCCACTAAAAAATCATCAGATGTGAACAACCTCAACAAAGTGGTAAGATGATCGGATTCTTAGTTGCTCCCCTTAAATTCCAATAAGTGTACACTAAAGTGTACCCAAGCCTTGATTACACTAATGGAAATCACATCCTCAACACTAAGATGGTACAAAATGATCTAACGTACTTATTAAATTTGAATTAGGATAACCAAAAGCCAATAAATTATTATACCTGATCAGAAAGGCATCCTCTACAGTGCACCTCTGTGAAAAAACTGATTGAAACAGCATACATAAAGTCCATACTTGAGTATGCTGATATGGTTAATTATTGAAAAAGTGCAGAGGCAGTTAACCAAGATCCCTAAGGAACTAAATCAAATTAATTATGAATAGAGACTGAGCAAATGCATATTTTTTAATGCTAATTGTTCCTTGGATAATTATGACAAATCTTTATGAATCTAACCGTTTAGAACATTCCTGATGAATTTTATTTTTCATATTTTGCTTATTTTATGGTTACTGCTTATTTCTGTACATTCAGAGTCATATTGTAAAAATAAAGGGAAAATTGTAATAATTTATTAAAATCAAATTTTTTTGAAATTGGTGAATTATGATTTACAGTAATAGTGGTTCATGGAACAGCTCAAATTCACCAAAAAGATGTGAATATCCTTTGAGCCTAAGAATTATTGCCAATGGATGTAAAAATAGTGTATTTCACTTGTACTATATGTGTGACCAAAAGCATGTCTGAAATTCGGGCGAGGGGCCATGGGTCATTGCATTCAGTGTCTCAGACTAGAGATATAAACCTGTGTAAGACCAAGGTTTCTTCAACCATCAGGAACTGTTTTCAAGTAAGCAAGAGCACGAGTGCTCATCCTCATCCCCCACCCCACCATGTGTTCACTGGTCATCAGTAGGGCCTACAAAAGAGAGATCTCTCTATTAACAGGTAGCAACACCACATGCAACCAGATGCTAATAGGTGATGTTCATGGAACACATACAAGCTGATTCTCTCTTGGAGGGCAGTATTGTTGTACCAATTTACTGAGCAGCATGTGTGTGTACAAGCATTATATTAAGTAAGCAAGTATTACGGTAGACTAAGTAGAAAAGATGATTGAAAAGATCAAAAGCCCAAATTTAAACTATTTTTTTTGTGGGTGTGAATGTTGGTGGGTGTGCGTGGTGGATATGGGTGTGGGTGTGGATGTGAAGAAGGGAGTGGGTGTGCATGCATGTGTGTGGTTTCTTCTTGGGCTTTTTTGTGGTTTCTTGTTATGATACCGCCCTGCACTGAATGGCCTTCCTTCATGCTGTTATATAAAAGCGAATGCATATGTTTGTATGTGCCACAAAAACATTTGGACCTTTCAAGTGATTCTTCCCAAATTAGGCATGAACACTTTTGAGGGCCAAAATTAAAAATACTGTGGTTGGAATGCAAAACTGCTACCTCAAAATGTTTTTAATGTGCAGTTGAATGCAATTCCCTGTCCATCTGGGCTTCATTGTGCTTAGTGGTTGCTATATGAAATATCAAAATCTTTTAAACATAGTAAATTTTTACTTTTCACAGAAAATTGCAAATTTTATTGTATAATTAGAGATTAGAGTGATTGTGACAAACTTCAACAGGGCTTTCATGATACTGCAAAATGCTGTTCAGATAATTGTATCTATTGTCTTTTAATCTTAATGTAGCAAAATGTACAGTAGTTAGCATCACATAGCAATCACTTCAAATGTTCGGAAAGATGATAAACCCAAAGGTTTTAAGACTTTTAATAACAACGTAATATAATCAATATGTTTGTTAAAGATCCCTTTTGATTCAAAAATAACTCCTAAGTGTTTCACCTTTTCTGAACATTTGAAATGATTGCCATTCGGTCCATAAGAATGCAGTATTGTATATTTACTTCGACAAAAGACTACGTGTCAATTTTGTGAAAATTGAAACTCTATATTACACAATTCTTTCATAATGCCTGCATTAATGTATGCATCCCCTGAATAGTTTTCTTACTTTGGAGTTCATATTATTAGCACTGAAAAAGTTCAACACAAGTTCTTCTCCTACGCTGCATTTGAAGCTGGCTGCCGAATTCATCATTTACCCATAATTATAATGACATTTCAAATTTGACAAATTTATATATGTTGCAATCACATAGAGACTATGCTGATGCCTGTATAAAATTATCAATGATTAGATATCATGACATCAATTAAAATCTTTATTCATTGAAAATGAGCAAATGTACAATTAGCAAAATAGAAATCCATTTTTTAATTCCGGTACACGGGACATCACATGGTCTCTATCCCCCCACCTCATATCTAGGCATTCTAGACAGAGAAACAGCCCGTTATATCCGTACCTACATCTACCAACAATTAATACATTAAAATCAAAAGCTGAATTGGCTGGTTGGATGGGGCAGGATGTGCGGCCGAGAGAGCCATGGTGGTCCAATAACGCAAGCAGGGGATAGGGACTGATATAGCATTATGAGCAAGAAGGACATAGAGCAGAATAGGCTGGATGGGAAAGACGAGAGTTGTCAGTAAGACAGCCATGGCAAGCCTAATAGGGCAGCAGAAGAGGCTGGATGGGCAGGGTGGGAGTAATAATCAGCATTGCTGTGGCAGGCCAGACATATCCCAGCAACGCTAGATAACCAGCTAGTTAATATCATAAAATAACAACAATATTATCAAAATTTTTGCAAAAAGTCTCTAATTCCTTTCAAACCAATGTGTATTATTGATTATTAGTGAAACATAATTAAGCAATTAAGCAATAAAAATTAATTTTCTATATTAAATTGTTATAAATACTATAATCAGAAAAACCTGTTCACTCACTCTCTTGAATTGTGGTTTGTGAAGCTGACCGAGGAATAGAACCACTCAAAGATGCATGATCATTACCAGGAGATGAGCCAAACATTTGCATGCTATCATGAACATGATCAGTAGTTGAGGAGCCAGTGGGAACAGCTTGGTAGTGGTGCTGCTGTATTAAAACTCCAGTGGGACCTTTACAAATAAAAGGAGAAATAAAGTGCTGAATGAAGACAACTTGTTACAAGAAAACAATCAATAAGATACCAATTTGATTCCATTGATATTATTTTAACCTCTAACTAGAAGCCATTTTCTAAATTTTAATAGTGAAAAGAATGTCTAAGCTGGATCAAAGCCTTTTCCAATTAAAAGAAAAGTTTCTTAACTTGTACAACTCACCTTTAGGGAATATATGAGTCCATCGACGTCGATTAGAAGTCAACTTAATTGTGACATGAGAGGGGTCAAATGGATTTATAAGAGCGCGACCTGGTCGGCCCAAATTTGATGGGGGTTGAGGTGGATTGCTTGGAGAACCAGCACTGCCCACAACAGGGCGAAGGGGAGGCGATGCTTCAACCTCCAACTCTCCATGAACTGTGAAAGACCTCTGGCGAAGGGCTGTAATCAGATTGAATATACAAGGTAAATCATACAAAATAAAACATACTACATCAAAATATACTGTGCAAATTTATTGAAATTTGCCAAATTTTGTTTATGTTACAGTTATCATATATTTGCAGCTTAGTAGTAAAACACACACATTAACTAATTACGTGTATCACATTAACTAATAAAATACATTATTATTTCAACAACAAAGTTTATTGGCATAGCTAATGCACATACAAATTAAAGATTATTTTCACCAAATTGTAAGAAACCATTGTAGAAAATGAGTAAAAAAATTCTGATTTATATATTGTTTTGAAATGTTTGCATGAAAACTTAAAACAGATTAGGTGAAAATGTGGTGGATGGTATAATTTTCAAAGATTTTAGCACCACTATTAAAACATTGAGTTTATTCTGGGGGCTGGACTTGTAATCAGTTTTGTATTTCATTTATAGAGGCTATTGCATGATGTAAATAAGACATGAGTATGAGCCCAAGTCACCTCAGATTACAGTCTTTTTTTATATTATTAGGCAGCGACTTCCGGAAGATCTAGTGACAAGACGTGTCTGTATAGTAAGTGAGAAAATCAGGTTAATGATAAAGACAAGATGGAAGAGTTGGACAATAAAAAGAAGGAAAGGATGACAAAAAGAAATATATAGAGAGTTCATTGAGATAAAAATAATAGATTACAAAGAGATAGAAGGGCAAGAATTTAAGAAAAACAGGTCAACAAATTTGGGAGGCAAAGATTCAAAGAGTAAAGAATGCCAAAGTAGAGAAAGAAATCAGCGTGACGGGCGGCGAGAAAGCAAACCAGAAAAACAAAGAGGAAAGAACATACCCGCTGTGTACTGACACAACAAAGAGCAGTGATATTAGGTGTGGTGGTAAATGCAAGAATAGATTCCACACAAAATCCATGGAAGTTCCAGAAAGGGATATAAAAACATTAAAGAAGGTGTCAACGAAACTGATATGGTTGTGTCAGAATTGTAAAAACATACCACAAGGAAATAAAGAAAAATATCGAATTCAAAAAGCAGATAGAAGATATTAAAAAAACATTAACAATTCTGAAAGTACTCATGAAACATTGAATAAGTCAAGAGCTAAAAGAAATATTAAAGAACAATTTAAGTAAACAGGATAGTAACCAAGCAGATAAATATACTGACACTAATCAAATCACCTAAAGCAAAAAGATGCAAAACTACTCATATGAAACACCCAGGAGAAGGGAAAGACACAAGGCACTAAAATTTCTAAAATAACAGAAATAACAGACATGTCATTAAAAGACAAAAAGGAAAACAAGGAAATGGTCGAAAATGACACAAATGAAAAGACAAGAACGCTGAAGAACTAGGACTCATAAACAACTCACCACAGAAAAGTACAAAGCAAATCAAGAAAGAAAGAAATAACAGAAACAGTATCTACCTTACCAAAATACAACAGCAACAATCAAATCAGACAGAGCATTCACAAACTAGAAAAAGTACTAGAAACAGAGATAATATTATAATAGAAAACAATGAAGTCAACGAGTTTACGATGGAAACTAAATTCAAATAGTTATACATAGGTAAATTTCGTAGTGACACAAAGTCTGAGGACATAATGCAATTTTTAGAGAAGAAAGGATTAAAGGGAAGCAGATGTGAAGAATTAAGAACACTAGGTTATAGCAAGGCCTACAAAGTTGGGATTCCATTAGAAGAATCGGCAAGAGTAGAAGAGGAAATGTTCTGGCCTAAGGGGATTCTAAGAAAGCCATTTTGAAGACCCCAAAGGAATGAAGGAGGGATCAGATTATAACAACAACAACAACAACAACAACAATAATAATAATAATAATAATAATAATAATAATAATAATAATAAAGAAGAAGAAGACAAAAAGAAAGATAAAATAACATACGTGACAACATAGACCGATAGAGGAATTACATAAAAAGGAACGGCATACACAACTAATGACAAGAAGACAGGAATAACAAAAACTCAGTACCAAGAACTAAAAATTGCTACTTGAAATAAGAGGATTGGCCTACAAAGAAGAAAGCTTTGAAACAGAAATCAAAGAAAGAAATATTCACTTTCTAATTCCATGAGAAACAAAAAAGAAAAACAATGGGACTAAACAAATCCAGAATCACATTCTAATATATGCAGGAGTAAAGCGGGAAGAAAGAGCAGCAGCAGAAATTGCAATAATGATACACAATAAATGGAAAACCAGTAATGAAGATTATAATTTTATTCCTCCAAGAAAAATAACTTTCAAACTCACAGCATCACAGAAAGGAAATTAAATGGCATACGAGTCTATGCACCAAAAGAAGGAAAAGAAGAAGAATCCACACAATTTTACAGTGATTTCAAGATGCAGTAAAAAAATGTCAGCAAATTGATTATTTCATCTTAGCAGGAGACTTAAATGCTCAAATTGGTTACCAGAAGATCAGCAAAATTAAAGGGGCGGAGGAACAAACAACAATGGAAAACTGTTTATTGACTTCTGTGCCTTTAACAATCCAAGAATAACAAATTCATTTTTTAAACATAAAGAAAAACATAAATTTGCATGGGAACTAAAATCAATCATTGACTATAGAGTGGTGAATGAAGAATTATTTGACAAAGTAAGGAATACAAAAGTTCTCAAAGGAAAAGAACTAGATACCAATCACTACTTACTAGAAATAAAACAAATTCAAACAACAAAAAATTAAGAAGAGAACCCAGAAAATTATATCAGCCCCAAAGTTGAAAACTTATGTACTAAAGGAAGAAAGTATCAGATGTTTATATGAGAATCAGCTTACAGAGAAATTACAGATGGTGGGTATGTAATCTATTGACATGTTCTGTACAACACTGAGAAAAGCAATATTACTTGCAGCCACTGAAGCTACAGGTTTTAAAAGGCCAAAGAAAGAGAAATGGGTAAGAACTTGTAATAATGAAATACAAGAAACCAGAGCCAAAAAAAAGAAATCATATCAAAAATACCTTAAATCACATAATACAGAAGACAATACTGAATATAAAAGATATAGAACTCACACAAGAAGAATAACAGGGAGCATTAAAAGAAGACTGGAAGAAATTTGTGATAATGCTAGAAAGGAATTTCACAGGTCCCCAAAATAATAGTTTCAAAATATTAAGAATGCTGAAATAGGACACAAGGGACAAATCAATTTCAACCTAATCCTAAAATGGAAGTGGGTAAACCATTACACAAGACTTTGGAACAGCAACAGACCACCAAGTATAAGCAGAAATGTTACTGAAGTAGAGTACAGGAAATAACTATAGAAGAACTAGAAGCAGTACTAAAGAAAGCTCAAAATAGGAAGAAAAACCAGGCGTGGATACAATCCCAATAGAACTTCTAAAATATGAAGGATCTCAAAAATATCCTAACAAAACTACTTAACAGTATTCACTTCTAAGAGAATGGTAGATAGGTGTAGTGATAAATTCACACAAGAAAGGATCAAAAACAGATGTGACGATTGTAGAGAGATCACACTCCTGCCAACAGTATCAAAATGTTTAGCTAATATCTAAAGAAATAGATTAAATTAATACTGTGAAAAATTCCTGGGAGAAGAACAAAATGGATTTAGAAAGGGCAGAAGAACAAAAGATGCTATTTTCACAGTGTACACAATCCTGGTCAAACAAAATGAAGTGAATCTTCCCACTTTCCTCTTCTTTATAGACTTTGAAAAAGCCTATGATAGAGTGAACAGAAACAAAATGTAGGAAACACTGGAAAATGAAGAGAAACCTACAGATATAATAAAAGGAATCAAGAGACAGTATAAAGACTCTCAGATTAAAGTAAGAATAAATTATGGAAGCAATACAGAGGCTTTTAGAACATCCATAGGACTGAGACAGGGTTGTGGGCTATTACCATGCTTGTTTAACATTATGCAAACCACATGATCAAAAAGTGGAAACAAAAAGTGAAAAACAGTATAAATGTAAACAAAAAACAAATGGAATTTAAATAAAAGACAAATCTATTAAAACGAAAGATCAGTTCTGTTTGCTAATGACATGAATGTTCTTCGCAAAAAAGAAGCATTAAATAGGACAAGTTTAGAAGTCTCATATTGGTTTTGTAATAACAAATTAATAGTTAATAAAGAAAAAACAGTTTCAATGCATTTTTGCCTTTCAAATCAACAATTGCATGCTCCATTGAAAATGAATAATATGCAATTAGGTGATATTCATGTAACACAATTTCTAGGTCTGTCAATTCAGTCAAACCTCAAATGGAATGTACATATAACAAAATTAAACCCTAAATTAAGCATGTTACGCATTCAGAATTCTATCAAATTCTGACAGCCTTCATGCAGCTCATTGCATGTATTTTGCAAACATACATTCCCACTTGAGATATGATACAAAATTCTGGGGAAACTCATCAGGTAGTACTCAGCCCCTTAGATTGCAAAAGAAAAGTATTTGAATAATGAAAAAATGCCATCCATGTTACCCTTGCAAGCCTCTCTTCACTGAGCTTGGAATCTTACCACTGCCTTGGCTATATATTTACGAAACTGTAATATTTGTCAAAAGTGACTTACTTAAAAGAGGGAACATATTTTCATGCAATACTGATATTTATAATTACAACACACGTCATAAAAAATCACATTTATCAAGTGTCAGTATCAACAGCTCACTATCCGAAATCCACATACAATACATGTACGTTACTTTACAACACACTGCCAGATGACATTAAACAATTGAAGTTGGTTCACAAATTTAAGTTAAAAGGAAAATCTTTTCTGCTGCGTAACTGTTTCTATACAAGTAGAGACTATACTGATTATCAAAAAGAAAAATAATGTTTATTTTAACAAAACAGTGATATATAATGAATTAGTTTTACATTCGTATTGTATAATTTTTTTTTAAAAGACTTAATATGTTTGTAACAAATAATATTCTTCAGCTTCTGGGTCAATGACGCCCATCTTGACCAGGTTTTTGTTCAGCTTCCCTGATCCATTGAGCAAATCCTGAGATGGCTCCTTGTTTTGCTTCTGGACGTAAATGTAACTTCACTATACGCATGTTTTGTTGAACACTCCTTTTGCTTGTAATGGTAAGAGTAGAGGTAAGAACGAGATTTGTTAGCAATGCAGAAAAATCATACTTGTAATTCGTGTACCTATGCAAATAAGTTTTCTATAACTCAGAAACAAAAATGACTAATCCTGCAACTTTTAAAATTTATTTTTATTTATTCATGTTAAACTTTTATTCGCCTTTCAACTATTTATAGTTAAAATGACTGGAAAGGATTCTGGAACTCAAGAAAACGTGTGCAGATAATCTTCTCCCCCCTACATCACATACAGTTTTTACCGTCTTTTTGACTGAATACATCTAAATGATCCAAACGATTTTCTATCCAGATAACATGATTCTAACAATGGAATCAGAAGATGACTCACAGGGAGCAGCAAATAAAATTCATAAAATAGACCTAACATACGTCATGAAAATCGACAAATAAGACTAAAGCTATTTCATTCCAAAGCAAAGAAATAAGGAGGGTTGAAATTGTTATATAAGTAAAAATAACTGAACAAGTAGCAAAATTTATACATCTAGGAAATATCATTTGATAAAATTCCAAAGATCAAGAAAGAAAAATTCAAAAATATAATGGAATAATCAAGAAAAACTTTGGAAGAAATATGACAAAAAAAACAACAAAAACACCCCACACAATACATCTAAGACAATGTAAATTAATGGATCACACATATGGATTCTAAAACAAAGAGTGTCAGATTAGAAGCCAGACAAATGAGACTTTTCTAGCACCTGGTAGGAATAACACGTCTGGATTGACAAAGAAACACTGAAAACAGAAAAACTCAAAGCAAAAAAAAATAGTGGATGACATTAAAGAGAACCAGAGGAAATGGCTTTCATATGTGTGAAGAATGCAAGTGGAAAGATTCCCTAAAGCAGTTTTAAAGTATAAACACATAGGGCAAAGAAATATAGGAAGAGACCAAACAAAAGATGAATTGCTCAGAAACATCTGGAGGAATAATCACCAAATCTACTGTTTAAACAGGAACAGGCGCCAGACCTACTATCCTACTATTCATGATGATAACAATGATCATTTTATATTATTAATAACAAGCTAAAAATGAGCATTCAATTAACATCAAGGATTAGACTTGTTGGCTCGTTTCAACCTCGATGTCATAGTCATCTAACCAGCTTGTCCTTAGTATTCCCACTCTTGATTTTCAATTTAAAAATTTGTCTTAGGACAAAACATTACCTAATGCCTACTTCTATACTGAAAATTTGTATTAACATGTTCAAACAATTTCAATTTTTTTTTTAAGTTACTTCTATGTAAGTCAAAAAGAAGAGAAGAGGGAAAAAATGGAGGAAGTTCATCACATGAGAACATATGAGAGAGTGAGGGGGGAATGATGATGTTTTGCAAAAACATTTTTTGAATGGATCGGGATACATGTTACAGCGCTAAATCAAAACTCACATTCATGAGCGACCACTCCAATCGATGCTGACTGCTGTGGTGATAATTCAGCAGCACGATGCTGAGGAATGGAGATGGCCGCAGAGCGTGCTCCACCCGCCACTCCAGGAGATCCGACATTCACCACTACCACTGAGGGATCACCAGTGCCGCATGTATGGTGGATATCTGGGTCAGACATTTTGCGTTTCACTTTCTGTCCCCCCAAGGCATCAGCACAACTTCCTTTCTTGCTTCGACTATTCATGCGTTGTAAGCTACGGGAAAATCTGCAACCAAAAAAATGTATTTCTTTCTTTTTAACCCAAGAAGTATTAACTAAAGTAACAAAACTAACCTAAATATCCACTTGTCTTCCTTTTTTAAAATTATTACAGATCAAAATCAGGAACTAATCAGGAACTCATCAGGAAATTGTGACCAATGAATGCTGAGTGTAGCTCCCGCATGTAACCCACCCTGCATTAAGCAAGATGGGGCAGGGAAGGGGACAAATTTTATTTTGCACTTACATAGAATTCGTGTCTAATAAATGGCTGTGCTATATAAATGCCCAGAGAACATGAAGTTACTTCTTCTTGTTTATTACACAGGAGTCAAATCTTATTTGCACCAAAATGCAGTAATGTACCATAAGATGTTGAAAATGTATAAATGGATAAAATGTAAAAAATCTTACTCATAATGCAAAAAACTTTTTTCTTTCCTGAAATGGTGTACACTTTCCCTGCCAAGCACTGTACCAACTGAAGCGAAAAAAATAACTCTTGTATTCAGCAGTGTGATTCACAATAATTTGCTGAGTGCTGTGCTTCTGCTCTTAAAGCTGCGGTCAATGAGCATTTGTCTTTAAAACAGCACTGAGCAGTTGCTGTGGCTAGATTACTTTCCCACAACCTTACAGAAGTCAGGAACCAGTAAAAGAAATCTCCAAATGTTTCCAAGCCATACAAGCTCAGATGAATATGCTTCAAATTTCAAAATACTTAATGTTTTCAATTGCAGCAGATGTCTGCCTCTTACAAAACGTATTTTCATGAATTTGCATGGAAGCCTTATACAAAAACAATCACAAAAATTATGTAACTTCTAATCTAGCATATCAAATTTTAAAATATTTGGTGTTATCATTATCCATCTGAACAATATCTGACTTAATTTGATGAGGGTATGTCTGGACACCAGTATTTTAGAGTATTTTTGGGCATATTACTTATTATATTTGACTCAGTTGATTCACTAAATATCCTAAGACAATGGATATCATATTTTGTTTATCACATGCAAGGAAAGTATTGAGTTAAAGAAAAAGCAGGAATTTGCAAATAAATCAATCTCCATACAAATTGCAGAAGTAAAACGATTAGATAGCAACTCTGTGCACTACAAAAATTCATATAGTAAACTCCATTTAAATGTTTTGCACTTATTTTTTAAATTTAAGGTTTGTTGTTTGTAAGACAGCTAAATTCCTAAGTTACCTGTGTTTAATTATATAAGATATGTTTTTTACTTTTATTCATTTTTCATGCTTATACCTCCATTATAAAAGTTCTGAATATGCGCATACGGATAAATGACAAGTAATTGAAAATAATTACATCATACTACAGAAACCTAAGAGTTCTGTGATTGGTTCAGTGTTCAGGTTCTGTTTTTTGAAGACAAGGCCTGTCAGCCTTCCATTAAAACCTGATAGGAACTTTAGAGACTGGACAAATCCACAAGATAATTATGCTAATGCCCACCAGTTACCCTCAGCATAACGCATAACTTTTGTGTGTACCCCAGTAGGGCTTTCAATTACTTCGCTTGTTGTCCAGCATGGCTTTCCATATTTGTCAACATTGCACAGTAAACACAATTGGCCTATTTCTACAAAATACATGGGAATCAAGGAAGGTGTGTTTATAGATCAGTTGTCACACTTTGAGAAGGAAAATTAATACTTTAGATGCAGCGAAAAGCAAATGGTCTAAGATCGGATTCTTTGCAAAAGTGGGAATTTTCTCCCTTGAAAATATTATATATTGAGTATATTATTTTCTAAGACAGCATTATCTAAGTTTCTAAGGTAACATTGAGTTTTTATTTTGCATCTGGATTTTCCTCTTTTTCAGTTATAGGTTTTTGTCATTTGTACATTTAGTGTCCTGAAAAACGTATAAATGAATGGATACAAGAACGATATAAGTGACATTTTATAAATCCTGAAAAAAAAAAAAAAGTTTATTTTAGGCTATATTTCAGTGGCAATGGAATTTCAAGGTTTTAATGAACAATTGAAAGGGCATGGATTTTAGTAATGAAACCAAGCCCCATGACTTTACAGTAATATTGACTTAAGTATACAGATTTCTCAGAATTTACAAGATGTCATTTATACCATTCTGGTTTTCATCCATACAAATAAAGTTTTACTGTATAATATTTACATGAAATTCTCTTAGTTGAATGGGCAAGCCAGTACAAAATTTATAAACTATTTCTATTGTGTCAGTATTTTTTGTTGTAATACACAGAAAAATTCAGAATACAAAACTCTTCTAACCTCACTCCGGTTATATTTATTTGAATTTTTTCATCACAGTTGAAAATCTACATTTTTGGTATCCACTCAAAAAATAGAAGTTTACCTTGATGAATGAACAGGAGGTAATTGGAAAACCTGAGCATCATAAGCATCATAGTCAAAAAGTGAATTTGGCATGCATTCATCTTCTTGAAGTAACTTGGATTTTGCTGCCTGGATGAGGCCATTGCTGGGTGCAGGAGGCAATTTGGAACGCCTTGGTGGCAGCTTTATGCGAGGTATGAAGTTGGAATAAGCCACTTTCTTGTTTGTAGAATAAAAACTACAAACAAAAAAACACACACACAAACATATCACAACAAATAATACGATGATAGGCAATTGGTTTCCCCCAAAATGGAACAGGTATGGCAAAAATTGTTTTAACCCTCATTTTATAAATCCAAACCAAAGATCTTAGAATGTCTCTTAAAAATAAACATTTTGATCGAAATGCTGAATAAATGTATTCATAGAGCTGTAGTATATGTGAAGGAAACAGCCAGAAGTGTATACAAAAAATAAGCCTGATCTCACTACAACTTTGTTTTCCTCTTGCTGTCAAAAAAAAGACACATGTGTGTAAACAGGACGTTCCTCCAACCCCATCAATTCCATTCCTGTTATGATATTTCAGGGCTGAAAGCTGTAACCTATCACATTACAATAACTAAAGCTCAAGAGAACAAAAATCCTACAAAAATATTGAATTAAGTAACATAATGAAAGAATTATTGACAGGAAAAAATCTGACAAACTAGAATTAAAAGAAAGAAAAAAAAATTCAGAATGGAATAAGCACGCTTCTTTGAGTAGAATATTGTGTCTACCACAGGAACAAGTTCAAATTGGCTTCAATACAGAAGAAGCAAATCCTTTCATCAAATAGGTAAGAAATTCAGTTGATTCCGGTTATAGTGAAATTCTGGAGTCTAATATTTTTGATTCACAATATCCGATGTCAAAATTAAATAGAATTGCTCCACAATTATTGTTTTAGAAATGTAGTGGTATAACTAAATAGATTAACAGAACAAAATGAATATTTCAATATCTCTATTGGTCCTTAAAAAAATCAATTATTTTCAATTCCTTGTTTTGAACATTTTTATTAGTCATTTCTTTATATCCTTCTCCAAAGTTCATGCTCTCTCCATTATCCACACATGATTCTGCATTGCCCACTGCCTCTAAATATCATAACACCCATTAATGCCTCTTGCAAGTCAAACTCTTCGAAGGCCGCCAGTTGTAGCCCAGAGAGGATACGACCTGTGATTCCACTGGGAAACTGCGAGGCATAAGGTCATCAGTAAGGTTCCCATTTTGATTTTGGCCTTTGGCAGTGATATGGTCAAGCATAGTGTTGAAATTTGTAGAAATCAAACCTCAGTCAAACCTCAAATGGAATGTACATATAACAAAATTAACACTAAATTAAGTTCATTATGTTACACATTCAGAATTCTATCAAATTTTGACAGCCTTCATGCAGCTAGTTGCATGTTTTTTGCAAATGTACATTCCCACCTGAGATATGGTATAAAATTCTGGGGAAACTCATCATATAGTACTCAGACTTTAAATTGCAAAAGAAAATTATTTTGCATTCGTATTGTATATTTTTTTTAAAGACTTAATACGTTTGTAACAAATAATATTTTTCACCTTCTGGGTCAATGACCCCCATCTTGATCAGGTTTTTGTTCAGCTTCCCTGATCCATTGGGCAAATGCTGAGATGGCCCCTTGTTTTGCTTCTGAACGTAAAAGTAGGTTTACTATGGACCCATTTTGTTTAACTCTCCTTTTGCTTGTAATGGTAAGAGTAGAGGTAAAACGAGTTTTGTTAGCAATACAGAAAAAATCATACTTGCAATTTGTGTACCGATGCAAATAAGTTTTCTAAAACTCAGAAACAAGAGTGACTATTTTTCAAACATTGCCAATCTTATAATTTAAAATAAATTATTTATTTATTTATGTTGAACTTTTACTCACCTATCAACTGTTTATTGTTAAAACGACGTGTGGAACTCAAAACAATGTGCGCAGATAATATTTTCCCCGGGCCCCTCGGCCACGCGCGCACCCAGGCACCCTCGTGTCGCGCCGTGGCAGGACCCGTCCTCGATGGCCACGGTGTCCCACTTCACCGGCGAAGGCAATGCGGCGATCAAAACCTACCGTGACTATCACGTACGGGTGGCTAAGGCACCCCTGAACGTAGTAGTAATTTGAAGGCTCTCATAAGCGCGAGAAATGATGCCTTTCTCGAGGCTCACTCGATGCAGAGATCATTCTGAAGTACAAGTGAATTTATCATCTCAGCCTTCACGTAAAATGTGCGAACTCGAGGCACTTCGAACATTTATCTGTGCACTCGAGGTGCTCTCCTATATTTTTAGTGAGTCTTAAACTCCATTTCGTCTTTTCTCTTATCGACTTTGGAGAGCATTGGTGGGAATGCTTTCGAACCAATGGGGTGCTAAAAAGTTCACATAAAAAAATTGCCGTCGGCGGCAACACTCGGACCCTGCGCACCTGAAGGGTACCACCATTCCTTCTTGCGGCCAAAGGAATGCGACACAGAAGAACATTTCGGGTTGTATTTCAGTTTCTCGCGGACCGGCCCTCGCATTTCAATTTTTTTTAGGGATGCGTGGTGCTGACCCCCCCCCCCCATTTCAGGGCATGTGGTATTGCGTAGCATGAAATTCTAAATAATACGTAAAAAACTACGGATGGTGGACGAAAATCAGGGGCGGGGTCGGCTAGCCTTACACAAGCATTCTTAAAATTTCTATGCAATTCCATGCAAACGGTAGAGCTCCTCCGGTTGAGATTGCTATTTTTCTATATTTTCCCATTACCGATAAGCTTCATCCCGCGTAATAAAAAAATTGTGGCCTTCGGCACGAGAACGTCAGCGTCACTTTCTTCACTTCAGCAACCTCTTACCTGTACTCAGTATTACGATTTTTTTGCCGACTATTTTACTACTATGTTCTCTTAAAGAAAAAGACTCAGAATCACTTATTTCGTACCCCAGCACCTAAATGAAAAGACGTCTGAAATTTCATCGATTGGCACAGAATAATAAAGTTAATAGGAATAGCCTCGTGATGAAAAAGTTTCACTCCTTGCCCAGGCCAAACAACAAAACATTTACTAACAGAATATCTGTAAAAACAGTGTGATAGTTTCTCAACTTTGGGTAATAATCATAAATTGCCAATGCTTCTTTCCCTGTCTATGAGGGTTCTTGCCTCGATTTATTTGCATTGAATGTGATAATAGGGCATTTTTGTACACGAAGAAAATCTCTGTTTTTTTATCTCAAAAATTATAAAAATTACAAGTGCCATAATCCTTCAAGAGCTTTCACCAGTGCTCGTACGGAATTCCCGTACTCCCAATAAACCTAGAGAGTTTAGTCAGTATAACAGCACGATTCTGTGCGTAAATTTTTCATTCCCCGAGCGATTACAGCGGCTCCCCTCAAGCTTTCTGCGGCGTAGATGGCCCCGTGTCTTTCCCCAGGCACCTTTTTATCATAACATCGTCGCTGGCTACCTCTGTTTTCACTTTCTGTAGTTCGAGAGCCTCTTTACTTTTCCTCTAGCTCCCTGCACCACATTTCTGTTCATGGTCCCGCTCTAGATGTTGCGATAACTTCGACAGTAGTCTGCTTAGAATCGTTCCCATCACATCTATCCAACTCTCGGCGCGTCGCAAAAACCTGCGGGGCATCTCATAGCAATTATGCGGGACATCAGAATTCTGTGGCGGTCGCATTGTTTCGCTATATTCGACATTGAAATTTCTCGGCCTATTGCTCGCAAATTTCTCGCATCTCTTTTTTCAACCTTTATTCGAATGCCGACATGCGTCGATGAACAAATTAGTTCTTGGGCTCTGCGTCCATGGTCGACGTTTGCTTGGAATCACGCGCGTCTTCCAATACTATCGGTACCACCTGACTTTCCTCGATTACCACGTAAACTTGATCAAAACTTTTATCTAACGTAACATTCAGGTTTTTGCCCTGCTTATCTACTTCTACTTCAATTTCCACAACCTGCTCTTAATTTAGTATCTCCTCCTCCTGCACTTCAAATTTCGTGCGATTCTTATCACTTTCCGCTGCACCCCGCGCAGTACTCCTATCTATTTTCCCATTCCATTCATCTAATTTACGATTTCGCTGTGCGAATTGACTATTTCGGCTTTAATTTCCCCCTTTCAGCTCGATCAAATTTTGCGGCTAAAAATGCTACAAGAGCCGTATAATCGCCCTGCGGAGCAACGGGCGCCTGAGATCTTGCGTAGTCGTTGGGTTCTATTTGACCTTCCATTTTTACCTCTGTTAGTCTTCAATTTAATTTTCTTTTACAAAACACGCACAGAATAACACACCCAATCACAATAAATACAAGCTGAAAGAAATGACATCGATAGCGGACCACAAAATTATTGAACATGCATCTCCGTTCCAAGCATCACCATTCATAAATATTTAAAACTAATGTGAGTTCGTAAGACTGTAGACGGTTCTTAATCTGGGCCTCGTTAATCGTAAGACTGGCGTCTTAAAAGGCGCCATTTGTAACCTGCCGGGATGTTCTGGATGCGACATTGCAAGGTCAATAAAAACAAACATACTCTTATAACACATTTAATTAACAATTAAGATGAGGATGAATATGAGCATGCCCATGAATGATTGATTATATAGAATTTACATCTTTGCGTCTAAACAGACAGACCCTACTCCTGCCACAAAAAAAATGACTTTCCGCCTCATTGAAACTACACTAATTCATCGACAGCCTCGCCCGTGTTTTTAGCGGGGAAAGGGATGGGCGGTAACCCCAACCCAGATTATGTCATTTTTGCTTGTGTATGTTATGCGAGGTTGAAAAGCTGCACCACCCTGCGACCTCGGGGCGACAGCAAAACCGTCGGGATGCACAATTAGCATGAATGGGTACAGGTGATCAGCCAAGATGCTTAGACACATCACCTGTCAGTTGTACCTAGATGTATCAGGAGTCCCGTATCACTCCAACTGTTCACACCCCATACCATCACAGAGCCTCCACCTGCTTGAAAAGTCCCCTCTTGACATGCAGGGTTCATGGATTCATGAGATTGTCGCAATACTCTTTCATGTCCATCGAAACGATGTGAAACGAGACTCGTCAGACCACACTATGTTTCCGCTCATTAACAGTCCAATGTCTGTTGACGGGCCAAGGCGAGGCGTAAAGCTTTGTGTCGTGCAGTCATCAAGGGTATTAGACGGGGCCTTCGGCTTCGAAACCCCTTATCGATAATGTCTCGTTGAATGGTTCGCACGCGTACCCTTGTTGATGGCCCAGCATTGAAATCTGCAGCAATTTCCGCAAGGGTTGCACTTCTGTCGCGTGTTATGATTTTCAATTGACATCGGTCCCGTTTCTGCACGATCGTTTTGCAGCCGCAGCGATGCCGGAGGTTTGATGTTTTACAGAACTCCCGATATTCACGGTACACTCGTGAAACGGTCGTACAGGAAAATTCAAATTTCATCGTGACCTGGGAAATGCTATGCCCATCTCTCTTGCGTCGACTATAACATAAACCTTCAAACTCACTTAAATCGTAATAACCTTTGTAGCAACAGCAATCGATCTAACAACTGTGCGAGACTGGTTATCTTATATAGCCGTAACCGACCGGAGCGCCATATTTTGACTGGTTCCAAAACTCAATTTCAATAAGCATGACTTTACCAGCTTTTTTTGGCTCTTCGGTGTAATATCCATAGAGACGTCACCACGACGTGCGCGCGTCGGAGGCAAGGCATGGCATGGCAGCGTAGTGAGGAAGAGCGGCGGGGAGGCAGGTAGGGGCAGTGCGAAGGGGGGCAACGGAGGGAGCGAGGAGTCGGACGGCCCAGCAGGGGTTATTTGGTTTTGAAGAGCGGAGCGAGACGGTCGACTTAGGGAGTTGCTCGCAAGATGGCGAGGAAGTCAGTCGTGGCTGGGGGACGCCGCGCCCGAGCTGCTGCCTCGACGTCGCGTCACATCGACGTGCCCTCGGGAGGTGTTGCCTACTTCGCCAGATGGTTGCGCGCCCGTAGCGGGAAAACGCTGCGCCTGTGCTGTGGCCGTGACGTTGAGTCACAGCGACGAGCCCTGGGCAACGCCGACGGGGATGTGCATGCGAGGCTAGAAGAAGCTGGGCACCTGCTTCGCTTGTAATGTTGCCACGTCACTCCGACGCGACCTCGTAGACGTTGCCCGCATCTGCCGCCGCCGTGCCTGAGGCCGGGCGGAGGATTTTTTTGTTTTTGTTTTAAGTTTATTTGTGAATTGTTGCTTGTTTTGCTATTGTAGTTTTTTCTTTGAAGAATACATTATGGTTTTTCTTATCACTGACTAATCCTGGACTTCATGTTTGGTGACTTTCTCAGAAACATGACTTGCGTCCGAACCATGCCCGGAGAGGAAAATTAAATACTAATGTGTGTGATCATATATTTACATTTACCAGGTGGGAATTAATTTCCAGGATAATGTATTTCCTACGTTCCCTACTGCCGAGGTTGAGGTTCACTATAACTGAATTTTCTTGAGCTTATTTGTAATTTAAGTGAAACTGGACCAATGACTTACGTTCACCATAACCGAGGGTTCACTATAACCTGAGTCGACATTAACGGTCTCTTTAATTTTCATTTAAAACATATAAATTTAAAATGTAGTGTATAATATAAATATGGTATTGATCTTTCACAATACTAAATTTCATTTGTCAGGGACCTACGTTCTGGAAAACAACAGTTTTTTTAATCACCTGAGATTGATCCAATGTGGCATACTGTAATCATCCACAGTGCTGAAAGTTGTATCCTTATTGTGGAACTGAAAAATAAAATAATCAGACTCTTGAAATAAACCTAATATTTAAGAGGATTTGTTAGTTATGCTTTTATTTGCATTTCAGAAAACGTGATAACATGCTAAACTAACAAGCACAATTAGAATACTTTTCCTTTTATGTTATGTATCAACAATTGACACCTTCATTTCAACAGAACAAGCAATTTTACAATGTATGGCATGGTAGCTGCATGTATCACATTGTCAATGATTATACAATGCAGTTTATACCTTCAAGAGTGGCACTGCATGTAGAGGTTGCTCTCCAACACACACAAGGTCACTGCCAACACCATTGTCAATGATTCGTTGCTTCGTCACATTGGTGAGTTCTCTATCAACTTCAAACACACCCACACCAGGAGTGATTACAACTGACAGTTGACCTGTGCGATCAAAACTTCTATCCAAATAATGCTTCTCAAAGACTGTTAAAGAGAAATGAAATCACAAGAATGAACTGTCATGGTAACTAACTCTATGAGCTCCTGTGTAATTCATGATTTAGTCTGCACGAGTGCATTAAACCTATTTGTACATATTCCACTTCATAAGCTTGCAACAAACTCATTCCTTACTTGCCCACTAAATAAGTACAGACTTTCTATTTTCAAAATCAGGAGTGAGGAGCGGGGTGTCTTGTCAACTCTAAAAAATACTATTGAATGCTGTAAATTGCTGCTCTTGTTACTGTAAAATTGAGTATTTGCATTTCCGTCATTATTATCCTCACATTCTGATAAGTCACTAAGCTGATTCTTCAGATAATTTGCAAATCTCACACAACATTAATGCAGGTATCAACAATCTTAAATTTCGGTTGAAGTCTAGTATACGGTACAACTTAAATAAGTTGTTTAAACTGGCCCTTCCTCCACTCCAGCGAGGAGGAAATCCACGGGGAAGGAGACAAAGGGTGTTTAGGGGATTATGAGGAGAACCTTCTGAAAGAAAATACACTTCTGAAATTATTTTGATGAACACACATTACATACATTATTCTGATGATTTTGGTTCGTAATTGGTCACGAACGTGACATCAAAAGTTGGGGGGGGGATTTCATCCTAGTATCTTGACGAAACTTCATTATGAAATGGTGTGTAGTGGCATGAAAATTGTGATTTTGCCCACATGATTTTTGTGTCAGGGTAGCTGTTGAAGTGGTTAGCTACATTGCTGACATATAGTTAAGTTTCTTACATTCTTCAAATTCTTTGGGATTTTGAGTGTCTTCGCGTTTGAGTGTTGAGTGTCTGTGCTACAATGTTGAGAATAAATGTAGCTTTTTTTACGTGTAGCGCCGAAAGGGGTGTTTGGCTGTCATTAAACAGGCACAAGAACATGGTTTGATTGCTGCAGGATTTAATTGTCCTGTGTGTAAGTGTCCGATGAGGTTGACGAAGCAACAGGAGTTGTGCGATTGTTTCAAGTGGAAGTGCATAAAGAAAAGGGGCCACTCCTCATAGTCGTAAGTGTTCCGTGCAGAAGATGCCAGGAGTATGATTCACGTATTAGTAATGACCGATCTTTAAAACCAAACTGCCATAAAAATCGCCGATCAGTAAGTTTTATTAATTTCTATCAGAGCACTTAGCGTAATTTGAGGGAGAGCTTAAGAAGACTCCTCCTCCCCTTCCCCCACTTCTCTAAGGGTGTACCGTATACCTACTTCAATTGACATTTTTTTTATATTTATTACACACTCACCATTTAATGACATATTAAGAACCTCCAGAAAATTGCCTTGGGCTGCAGTAGAATTTACAGCTTTGGGGATACTCACTCCTGGTCGTTTATGATATTCCAATACTATTTTCTGATAGTCTGTAAAGAGCCTTCGCAATTGAACCAGAGTGCTAGTCCAATCTTCATACCTTTCATTCTGAACTGCCACTCTAAAATATAGAATATTCAATGATAAACTTAATTTCATTCAGAACAATACACAAACAATTGATTAACGTAATTTCAGTTTTTGTAACATAAGAATGTAAGTAATGACCAATAACTCCTTCATTGTAGAGCAAAACTAGTTCACCAAAGCTCTCAAATATTATAGAATTACCCCAGGATTTTAAACCTCTCATGAACCTGTCAAATTGATAAGTCTCAGCACTTGCTTAATTTACCTGTAAAAATCTTCATAGAAACGCCCACGATAATCCTGCTGTAAACATTCACGCATGTGCCCTGGAAACTCTTCTAAGTTACTGGCTTTGTAGAATGTTCGAGAGAATAATACAATAGTGACTTCATGATTGCTGCCATTTTTCTAGTAACACAGTATGAATTTGTTGTCACTATTTAATACAGTTAAAAAAGAAAAAATGTTTTTGCAATGAATTCAAACTTTTTACCTTCCATTTTTGAAATAAATCAGCTAAAAAACCATTAACAGCCTTTTCAAAATACAAATCACCATGAATGTCAAAATCCCACATTTCAGAACTCATTTGAATGAAAAGATATACCATGCTTGTGGAGGATCGAAAAACAACCTGAAAAAGTAATATTTTGGAATTACAAATAAATCAGTTTTATTGGAGTTATCAATTATTATCATAATTAATTTTATATTTTATCTGTTTATTGAGAGTATTTGTCTATAGCCATCTTATTTTGTCTAATCCTACCTTTGTATCATCAGTGATTACTCCACAGGCTACTCTATCTCCTTGTGACCACATTTCATACACTTGACAGCGGATACTGCCACCACAGAATTCAATTTTTTTATTTAGGTACACACATGTATTCACCTACCGAAAATATTTTTTCATTAATATCATTTTACATAAGACTGCATTAAATATCTAAACAAACGTTTACTTACTAAGTTATTTTTGAGTCTCCACATCTCACTACGTCCCAAGTACTGATCTTTGAAAGTAAGTTCCACAGAATCCAATGCAACATTTTCAGGATTTACTATGTTCACGTGTACATCAGCAAAGGTCCGCAACTGAAAGGCACTTGCTATGGACTGCTCCACACTAATTGTTTCTATATTATTAAAAATAAACATTAATAACAACATCCAACCATAGTATAACTTAAAGTACAATTGGATTCCTTTCAGTTTACCTTTCAATTGCAGATCCTCCTTAAGACAGGTTATTTGCAATAACAGACGACTAAATTCATCATCAGGATGATATATTTCTACTATACTTCCTTTCTTAATGCCTGGAAAATCCTTGGAGTTTATGATCAAGTCTTCGGCTAAAACATTATAAAATGACGTTATTCTGATTATCACTAACGTACAAGAAAAGCCCGCCCAACTGTCCTCGAGAAAACAGAACTTTTTTGAACCACTGAGAGGCAAACTTACAATCGTGGATGAAGATATAATTCATTTTCCATTTTATACAAATATCACAAAATTTGCTATTTTAAAAAACAATTATACTAACCACAAAAACCTCTGTTGTGAACGATGAGCTTCAATAATTTCATCTTCATCACGCAATTTTCTTTCTTATACCTGTTTACTTGTTACATTTTTTTCTTATCGTCGAAACAACACTGCCAGAGCAACAAGATAGCTGTCTTCTTTTCGAAATCGACCGACAACGAGCATGGATACATCTACATCAATCTAGATCAGATGTATATGCTCAACGCATTGTGTCAACACGCTCGGCCCATGCTCAAGGCCTTTGACAGCTGATCGCGATTGGAACGAAGTCCGCACATGATTCTTACAAACGCTAATAGGGTCGCTGGTGTTACAAACGCTAATAGGGTCGCGGGCGTTATTCGTCATTTGGTGTTTTCAAAATCCAGAATTTCAGGAAAGTTTTGTAGTCGTATATTTATATCAAAAAGATTTAATGGAATTAAACCTATTTCTTAAAAATTAAAAAGAAACTAGCGCTTATAGCTTTTGGATAAGTACATTTAACCCTGACTTCACTGAAAGAAGCCATTATTGAATCCTATTTTGCCTATCAATACATTATACTAACAATACATACTAATACATATAAATATTAATTATACTAAAAATACATTACAGTTGTTTGAAACTTTGAATTTTTAAGCATATTTTTATTTCCGAATTTTGGGGGAATTCGTACCTACCGTTGTGAAAAGTATGTATTGAAAATGTTCAGACTGGGAGACAATCTCTATTTGACATTTTAGGGTACCAATGACAACCAAAACATCCCTTTTCCTTCCCAAATCACCTTCCTTTCTAACTTGGAGATGATCCTTAAAATTTCCATACTTCATTGTTTAATGACATCGTGATTTCATAAACAGAAAACCTTAAAAATTATATTTGTTTGATTATTTAGGTGCAATTACTACAGAAAGGCACAAATTTAAAAAATGCTCAAGCAGCACTTTCATGGCCAGTCCAGTTTTACTCTTAATATTTTCAGAAGCATTGTTTTCTTATTAGATATGCTCGTTACTCTAATAATAACATGTGAAAAAGTACAAAGTTTCTTAAACATCTTTCAACAAACATCAGATTTCTTCTATATCAGATTTCCAGTAATGAAAACAAAACTAGTCTTCACTGACATATTTACTCTCTCTGAAGAATTGAACGTTTATGGAAAGTATTAATTCAGAACAGGAAGCTCAACAGGTAGTGTTACTGAGGCAAAAATTACAAGTGTTATTCAGACGTACCAAAAAATTATGATGAACTTTCAATGATTGTTTGGTATATGGAGTAAGATGTTAATTTTATTTATGGATGTGTTTTAAATAAAAATTATCATGGATTACATGCTGAACTTCTAGCAGATTAGGTTCTCCAGACATTAAAAAAGTTGGACAAGTTAGCTGAAATGTAATACCCATCACAATTATTAATTTACAAAGTATTTACTCTGTTGTAGTACCACCAATCAATGAACACAATCACAAATTCAAGCAATTCTGTACTTGAAGATTAATGCTAGAGAAAGAACTGATTGTATTTTTAGATCTAAAGGGATTCAATTTCTTTCTATCAATTGTTAACACAAAAAAATTGTTGAAAAAGTTTAATTACAAACAAAAAAATTGTAGTTTTTACACATGATAACATTGTATGTTATAAGATGTTATGTTTTAATTTTTTCTTTCTTAATGGATGCAAATCACTTTTTAATTCATTCTCCTAAGCAACATTTATACAGAAAGGAATTAAATATGTGAAATTTATAATTTTTTAATGAATTTACTATCTTTGGACATTACAAAAATTATAGAAACAAATGTCTAAAAGCAAGGACCTTATTTTCACAGCTTGTTGAAAATAAAAGAGACTCCTTAGCACAAAACTCAACCATTCATATATCACGAACAAGTTTAATATAAGAACAATTTTGCATAAACTTTGCATTCAAATGCAGAAAATTTCTGAATCTGAGAATATTCATTAATTACCTTTTATAGAGGTGAAAATATTTAAAAATATTTTTTCACACTGAATTTTTATTTGTATTAAAATCAAGTACTCTGCTTATGAAATATGATTATTCTCTTAATTAAATAAAACCAAAAGAAATATTAAAACAGAACAGGATGAGTAGCAATTAATGTTACCAAATTATGCAATATTGCCCCTTCCATGTTTGGTATTGTTCCTAAATTAAGACTAGAAGAAGATCCTGAAATAGGAACTGCTGTCCAGGACTGACATGTTTTGCAACTTGTCTTCAATTGTTCATCTCGAGAAACTAAATTTTCTACATTTTCTAATAATTTTATAAAGTGAAATGTTTCTATTAGGCACACATATAAAATCTCCATTACATTTTGAACAAATAGTATGCATTTGAAGGAACATTTCCCACCTCTATCAACCACCACATTAACCAAAATTTCAAAAAAATATTTTTTTTCCCCTATATAATTTTCAATCTTCTTTAGAAACAAATTTAGCAATGCAGGTCCCTTTAACATAATGTAAAACAAGGCGACAAACTGAAATTAGGAACAGATCTAAACCACAAAAGGAAAAAAAATCTTGAGTTTGAAAAAGACTATGTACATTAACAGACATACAAATATAAACAACGTTACGACAACAATAAACTTATTTGAAGGTGTGACAAGTTATAAGACACAAAAATCAATCTTATAAATTTAATTTTGTGTTGTATTGCAATTTTGTACATTAGAGTTCACAAATTGAAGTACATCCGGAACCAGTTTTACAATCATTTGTTTATGTTGCTTCAGATGCCCAAGCAAAATTCTACAATCAAGAATACATTACTTGGGATGGAATTCACGTAGTTCCAGATGAAGTAATTGTCAATTTAAGATGTGCAGGTAAGAATAAATAAAAAAAAAAGTATACAATGTATAAATTATCCAAGTTGGTGCACAGAAATTAGAGTAAAAATTATGTGAGTAAAAGTGACTCATTACAGACTGGATCAAAAACATTCATAACATATGCAGAAAATTGTATTTTCTATGCATATATATATACATGGCTTTATTTGTCATAGTCTTCTACCTATTTCATAATAACATTCCGTATCAACCATATACACTAAGGCATATTCTCAGAGAGTTGTAGATAGCATTTTGCGTAGCTAGAGCTTCTGTTTGCATTACAATCAGTACAATATAAATAGTCACCAAACACATCATGATTGCAACTTACAATAGCATTCAGCAAATTCAAAAACTGCGTCAGTCAATTGAGGAACTTCAACACTGAATTTGCACATGAAGTACTAATTATTACATGTTTGTGTTGCAACAAACAGAAAACTTTGTCAAAAATAAATGTACAACTCACTGTGAATAGCCCTACGAAATATACTTAACAATACAACATGAACATTGTAAATTCTCCTGCCAGGAAAAAACTACAGCACACTATATTGACTAGCATTATCCTTTTAGAAAATGACAAAATAAGTTCTGAAAAACAGTATAACACACATGCACACATATTTTTATAATATACATATTGTACATTCACAATTGAAAAAATATATCATAATCAAAGTTCATGTGCACTAAAAAGAGCACAAAAATAGAATCAAAATTACAACTGGACCAAACTTCCTACTGCAAAAAGTATATCGAATTTCACCACAGATTTTTTTTCAAAAAAATAAAATAAAAAAAGAACTTTAATTCAAATGTTAGATCTACTGGGAGACTATTTCAAACCATTAATACCCAAGAATAATTTCAAAGCAATGATTATTAGAATTGTATGAAAACTCCTTAAATCTTGTGCTGGTACATTTTGTAATTTTAATATGAACATTTCTGCTTCTAGTAGTAGGTTCCAATTCTGGTAACCAAAACATGGTATAATTTGAAAAAGTAATTTAATTGATACTGTTTTAAGTACTCTGCATTTTAAATGGCTGTTTTTCCTGAGCAGAAAATGAGAATACTTTGCTTAACCTAATTTTATGCACAAATATAATCAATTTCTTTATATATTTTCTTTTCTAACAATATTATTAAAAAAATTCAATACGGAAAATATAGTAGCTAGTTTCTTTACAATGTCATACTTCAAAGGATAACAAAATGACATAATTATCTTAATCTTAAAGAAAACCCAAATATCTTCATAATGATTACATCAATATTCTTATCACTGTAGCTCAGAAGGGCCAAATATAGGTTAATAATATTGGCTCAGAACTGTAAATCAAAGAAAAAAATCACTGTCACCTGTCTATTCATTATGCAACCTACTTAATGTTCCTGCGCTACACATCTTCATAATGCATCAGCCCCTGCATGAGTCATGCTTCATGAATTTTAGCTGGGACTCTGAGAAGATGATGAAGATGAGGAAAAGGTGAAGGAGAAAATGGAGGCAAAGAGAGAAGAAAATGAAATAGGAGAACAAGAAGCAAACAAAAATAGGTGAAGAAGAAGAATAGAACAGAAGATGAAAGAAGACAACGAAAAAAGAAGGAGAAGTAGAAGTTTTTGACAAGCCCAGAATTGTGTTCTGTAGTCACTAAAGGAATTATGTATTCAGCGCACTCTGATTTCTCAGTTATGAAGCAACAGTAATTCGATAGCTAGTACTTTTAAATATAATAGACAACACAAACAATAAAACACATTAGTTATACACTATCATAAATTAAATATAAACATTTTAGACTTTTGAAACATAAATAATTTTGTTCTATGATTTATTTCTTTTTTATAAGCACCATGTAATGTGTTTGCATCGCTAACAATAAATTATAATTTCTTTTTTAAGATCAAAGTTGATCCACAGAAGGATCCAAGAGTGATCACAGAGAGGTTTGGGAAAGTGAAAGGACGTGAAAGAAATAGGAGGTTAAAATAATTAAACAATTAAAGTACTAATTTAATTTATAGCTACCTTATTAGCATTTAAAGATAAATTGATCCCACAAGATATCTGTGCACTCGACAACCTTTGATGTGCAAGTCAGCGCTCACATTTTAACAATAGTCAAGGGCACAGATATCTCATGCAAACTCTACATTTATTGTTAATTTCCATAGTGGTAACACTTATTCAGCTTTCAAAAAAATTTTCAGGTAACCGTATCACATGAGAGAGTATTTCTTTTCTTAACTTGTCAGTTTTTTTAAAATTCTTCTGCAAGAGTTCGACTCCACTGAAATATATGATTGGTTTCTTTAAAATGGGTGCAGTGATAAGTAGATTGAAATATTTGTCAATTCAAAGGCAAAATTATACCACTAGAAACTAGCCAAAATTATGATAATAAAGATTAAATTATAAATCCTAATTAAACCTGCCTGTCATATAATCTTCCTCACACATCTGAAATACACACAGAAAATGAATAGGAAACGACGGCTTTTATATTACAAGATATCAGAAAGAGAACTGAAGATCAGTTATATAACACAATGTTTCATCAGTGATTTTTCTTAATTTTTTAAAGGTATTAAAGAAAACATTTTTGGGAGAATACAACAACTTTCTCTTTCACACAATTTCATAAATGCCTGAGGGGCTCACATGAACAGGTATCTTACCTCATGATAACATAAGAGCAGACAGTTCATATTTTACAACTAGCCAAATCACACTGCACACTCAATCATCTAGTTCCAAATCCAACTCCAGATCCACAAGCTCAATCTCTTTTAGTGTGTTCATCACAGTGTATCGAGAGAAGAACATGTAGAGTTTCCGGAACCAGATAAATTGCGAGGCATGCGCCTCCATTGCCGACTGCAAAAAATCTCAAGTAAATCATTTTCTGAAACCAGCATATGCTATTTGGGGTGACAAAATTCATATAAATCAAATAACACAGTTGACTGCATTTTCATAATGCAACTGACCACTGTTTGAACCTGAACAGTCAGAATTGTAATTTCAATTGTAACTTGGGAATTTTTTCTCATCCTCTATTATATAACTTGCATGGCTGTTTAATCCATTGCTCAAAAAAGGTATTATGTCATTCAGAGAGTAGACAGTTCCATCACCAAACGCAGTTACATATAATTCCAAATGTTTTCCACTCGAAAGCAAACATTTTGTTCTACATTTTATCATTCCCAGTGACAAAATAAAAAAAGCTATATATATATATATATACACACACACACACACACACACACACCAAAAAAGTGTATTTTTTCAAAACATCTGTCTGTCTGGCATATGTGAACAACATTAGCACATGCGTAGCACAACATTAGCACAACCATGCGTAGGATTTTTTCCAAGTTAAAGGAACCCCTATCTATCTGGCCTGAACCAAAGCTCTGGAATTTGAAAATCATTTATTTTTTGGGGTACTTCACGTGAAGCCCTTGAGACATTCAAAATTTTCTCAAAAATGGCTCCACATTTTTTCTTTAAATTTCTTATAAGAAAAGAATGAATTACACTTAAAAAGGTGGCATAGGTCCAATTTTCATTGATAACTCCAAATTTTCGATAATTACAAAAGTTTGAATTTTTTCTCTGACTTTCTATAGCTACAAAATTGAAGATACAGATTTTTCGTTCAAGTATTTTTTTATTTTTTTTCCCCTTAGCTAGTCCTTTCATTAAGGTATATATATTTCTTCAAATAAATCAGAAAAAGAGAAATGATCCACAATAAAAGACATTTTGTGTGTTCGGGAGGGCATTTCGGACTCCTGATGGTAATAGTGTGGTCAGATATTTTTTGTGCTTTAGACATTGTCCTGATCAATGATTTTTGAAAAAAATAAGAGGGATTTGGTAAGAAACCAATGGCATATTTCACTGTTTTCACCTGGAAAATTATTCTGCTTTAGTATGAAATGATACCTTTACAAAGTGTACCAATTTTATACGTCAGAGGAATAGAGTTGATATGCTGTCATTTATCTTCCAAACTCTATGCATGTGGTACATAGTTCATAGCATGAAAACCACTCAAAAGCAGTAAACAATTATGACTTTTGGGAATGATCACTAAAATGCTGTGTCAATGTTTACATACATTGGAAATATTGTGGAAGTTTTGTGAAGGACAATGACAGGAAACACCTGGAAAACTTAGCCAAGAGCCACACGTAAGGATAAAGCAAGTGTTGATTGAACATATGTAGTATTCTACAAAATGTACTTCAAAACTGAAATCTGTACAAGTCATTACAGTTTTAGATCTACGACTACAATAACCACAAATTGTTAATTCTACAACATAAATGCTTTGGTATATCTGGAATGCTTCTGAAATTGTTAACTGATTATTTGTGTAACAGAGTCCAATACATCAAATACAGAAATCTCATCTCTAATGAAATTACTATATCCTCGGGGGTACCCCAAGGTTCACATTTAGGCCCTTTATTACTTGTTGTATTTATCAATGATATTTTCTCACTTCTGGGAAGTTTTGAATTTTGTATATTTGCTGACAATTTAAAACTAAAGTATAAAATCCACAGAATATATTAAAATCTACAAAATGTTATATCAGCTACCTATCAGTGGTGTTTATTAAATGAACTATACCTCAATCCTAAAAAATGCAAATTTGTAACTTTCTCTAGTTGCAGAAATGTAATTGACAGTTCTTATAAAATTAATGATATATACCGCAAATGAGTTATCTTAATGAAGGATCTCGGTGCTTCAAATGACTCAAAAATGAATTTTAGTATACATATTGAAATGATTACAAATAAATCTCTACAACAACTTGAACTGATTAAGAGAACGTGTAGGGTGATCTGAAGTACTGCAGTCTTGAGAACTTTGTATCATTCATTAGTTAGATCTCAACCCCTGTTTGCTACTATGGCTCGGTCACTGTATTTAGATTTTCACATCAATAGGCTTGAAAGAGTACAGCATAGATTTTTTTCAATTCCTCTCCTCAAGAGTTGGCTCTTCTGATTCAATTCTAAATCAAATAATGCAAGAATCTCGCAAATGTCCGGTATTCCAACTCTTAAAACATAAAGGACATTGTTTTCCTATATAAATTAATACATGGTACCATAGATTGCCCTCTATTACTTAGTAAACTGTTGTTTAGTGTTCCTAATAAGTCTACTAGACATTCTGAACCTTTTTCTTGCGAAATTATTCGAAACTTTATACATCAAATAACCTTTCACGAGAACTCGTAAAATTATAAATAATCAAAATCTAGATATATTAAATCTTAATATGAGTGATTTGATAACATGTTTGAGATCATCAGTTCTTCAATATTCATAAATAATTATATACTTGTAATATTTTTTTGTTTTAACTTAAACGTAGACACTATGTTATACTTGTAAATTATTTTGTCTTACAAATTTTATTTTTGTTATAATTCTTGTATTCTTTTATGCTGTAAATTAGACATATTAATGTCCATACAGTCAGTAAATAAATAAATAAAGTGTTTATATTTCTCGCTGGCTTTACATTTTTTTCTACACATAGAAGACACACACAGGAAACCAAGCATTAAAAAATTAAAATTCATATACAGAAGAGATACTAAAAAAATTACACAAGCTGCTTCTGCCTTTGGGTTACGAGAAATAGGTTGAAAGCATATTCTGAACCAACCTCCAACAATTCATGGACGTTGTTTGTCGATTTGTGTAAAAGTTGTTTCTATTTTGCCGGTCCCCTCATTAGAAAACTATTGAATACATGTAAGAACTAATATATTAAACTTCCTCAAAAAATTAATAAACTAAAACAATCAATAAGGCAAAGAACATAATGCATCTTTAAATTAAAAATTACACAATCATATAAACCGTTCTTTGCTGTATGAAACATAACAACTGCACGTAGCATCCAATGCCTACAGATTATGATACTTCCTAAAAAAAAGCTCAAGCCGCATGAGCCACCCCACCCATCCCAAGTATGCCACTGGTCATATTGTAAGAATTGCTTAGTTGATTGTTGGACTAAGTTCTGCGAACAAAAAAGAAATTGAATTAGCTTGTTTAAGACCTGTGTATTAATTTTCTCTTGCCATCAGAAAATGCTGGGTGCAGTTCACCATGCCCAACTACGTTCATTTCCAGGAATGTGATAATGTCTTGTGTAAATAAATACAAATGAAGAAATATTGTTCCTGACAATTTCTATCAGTATACAAGTAAGGATTCCCCCACCCCCACTCTTCCTCAAAGGTTCACGAATCACTATCAACAAATATCTGGAAATCAACTATCCTTCTTGCCTTTACAAGGCCACATCATACGTGTTCTTACTAGATTTTATTCTATGATTGCTTGTCTACACTTCTTAATATGATCACTATTAATTGTCTTGCAATTTTAGGTTTGAAATTATTACTTCATCGACAGTTCCATATATGCAATGTATAAAATTCTGCAATGTTCTAACTGTAATTAAAAATTAGAATAAAAAAAAAATTAATAGAACAGCACTTTCAGTCACCCTTGCATTATAAGCCATGCAGTCTATTGGCTTTCCTAGGTTCTGTTTCAGAACAATCACTGCCTTACATGCAACCACTACCAAAAAATTCAAAAAGAAATGAGATAACCTTCTCACCAGGATGATGTCTCTCTCCCTCAGGGAGATAATGTACCAGTAAGAGGACAGTAAATAGGATATTGGCACATCCAATATGGCAGAATATTTTCGAACGAGACAAATAGACTCCAAAGCATATGCTCGACAATCTGTGGACAAGAATGTACAATCTTCAATAATCAATAAATTTTTTTATTTAAATTAATTATTATTAAAATATTTTTATGGCTGTAGTGTATTTTTATTTCTTTTTTATGTTTTTTTTTTAGATCATGGACGACGGTAAACAAATACCTTCAAGTTATTAATTAATTATTGCCAGTCCACGTTATATGTTATTATGAAATTATTGTAATTCTTAAAAAAACTGTGTTATTGCAATGAACTGAAGCCCATTTGTTGAATTTAACCCGTCTATCAAAACAATATCCAAACAAATATAAATTATATAATAACTTTGGGGTACTACAGGCTTAAATTATTTAACAATACATTATAATCTAAGATAAATTTGTTGCAGTTTAGGTATTTTTGTAAGCTATTATTATATTTAGAATTTACAACTTCACTAAATTTTTACAGCAGCCACTAATAAACATGAAAATAACTTACAAGATGGAAGTTTACGTTCCATGCAAAGATATGCTGCCGCATAAAATATGGATGAGTGATTAATGTGCCGACTGACACCACCCTTGTCAAATGTGATCACCTGTCAAAAAATGTATCAAGAAATAAAACATTATACAATGAGATATTTATAAATATTTTCTTTCGTTTTACTTTTTTCATATCCTGAAACCATTAAATTAAATTTCTTACAGTGTCTATTGACAGTGATTCAACGTGGTTCAAAATCAAGTTTGCAACCACATCTTCACGCCACTCAACTGTAGGACTATCGGGTAAATGTGAACACCTGTAATGAAATTCAAACCAAATTATAGTTATATATAGCAACCATAGTAATAACTTTCTTTCACTAAAAAATCTTACTTGCACAGAGTTATATTATCTTCTGGAATCCCCAATATTTTACAACTTTTCCATAGTTCACTTTTTCTCTGCTTTCCTTCATTTCTAAAATCTCCTAGATCCATAAAATCACAAACATCAAGTTAAAAAAAAAAAAAATTTGAAGATACACTTTTCAATACCATTAAAGAATCTAAACATTTCACGAGCTCACCATTTGAAAGGCACAAGAGGAACATTTGGCAGTCATGTCGCTGAGCAAGTGTAATAATTATGGGTCCAAAAAACATACATTCATCATCTGGATGAGCTATCACAAACAGAACTCTCTTAACAGAACGTAGTTGACCACAATCTGAGGAATTTCTCAGGTACACAGTTGCAATATACACGAGCCCACACAAGAAGATATATATACCAACGGCATATAATAAATGTTGCATAGTGTCCCAGGCATATTGTAAAGTTTCCTCTATAACTAAATCTTTCCATTCTTCCAGACGACGTTGTAATGGGTATATATCTATCATGACTAGTTACTTGCTTTACTTTATCATACATGAACTCTACACTAACAAGTCAGCCTTTGTTTTTACGCTGGAAGGGTTCTCTCCATTTTACACTTCACGTTATAAAAATAATTAACTGTTTTTCTCACAGCCACACTTTGTTCAAATTATGAGAAACATTCGATGCACGTTACGCGCCATGCGGCCTTCCGAAAAGTCGAAAACGATGGCGTGAAGATAAACACGTAGTCGACACGGCAAGCAGTCCAACTCTTTAAGTTTCATCACATTGAACAAATTTAAATAATTAAAACGAACTTTCATTTCTTCCAATTTTTTAACTTTCTTTTTTTTCTTCTTTAAAAGAAACCAAAACAGTTAATTCCGTTTTGACTTCGCAACTATTTGCTCAGTGATAGACAAAGAGGATATCTATTATCTACACACACCTACACTCGCCGGTACCCTGATGCACGGCTTCAATCTCTCCTACTTTTGCAATATCTGATTTCGAATACAGCTGCCCAGTCATGAGGGTTAGAAAAGTTAGAATTAACTCTCATTTCTCAGTCATTTCAGGTCGGAAAAAATACATCGTCATATTCTCCTCAAATAAAAAATGTTTCCTCGCTTGAAAAAGCCTGGCTTCTTTACAACAGACTGACGTTTTATTTTATTACATCCAAAAGGTTGTGTTGTAATAGTGAGTCGAACCTCTGAGAATAGCTCTACTTGTTAGCAAAGAAAAATAAATTTTCTCGTACAAACGAAAAAAAACACAAATTTGAAAAATGACAGGATTGGGATGCATGGTACACTGGTGGATCCGAAGGGGGACATGCCCCCCCCCCCAATCCTAGTTTTCGTTTACCTCCCTTTATTTGGAAAAATTGATTTAAATATTTAGGTTTGAATTATGTAATTATTTAAACAATAACACTGTATAGTATCATCTCCATAATATTTAAATGATATACAATATAATAACTAGAACCCGGAAGTCTGGCAAAATGATTTTTTTGTTATTGTTACTAATTTATGACTTTTAACAATAGGAATCACTTAATTGCACTTCTGGAATTGTTTTAGTGGATTTTTATTTTGTCTATTTTAGCTTCTGATAGCTATTTTTGCCATTTTTTGCCTTTTCCCTCATTATTAGAAGATTTTCATTTTGCCTTTTTTTCTCTTCTGGCGCCGATTGCAATCAAGTGTCTGTGTTTATATATATAAACACACACACAAGCCTGGACAACTCGATGGTGCGGTCGTGATTTGTCCTTCAGTGGAAGAAGTCAGTGGAAGAAAAGGAAGATAGTACCGAATAAGATTTTTGAGTTTTTCATTGGTGTCATCAGTCTTTTTTCAATCACGAGCAATCCCATTTTGCTTTTGAGTATGACCACCGATTTTTGCGAACAGTTCTCTATATCAGTGGCGTATCCAGTGGGGTACCGGGACTACAGGTGGTAGTCCGAGAAAATTACGAGAACAGAAACATCGAGAAAAATTACAATAAAAAATGAGTGAACATATGTGGTGGTGAGTGTACAATATACTATATTATGAGTTTTAAGTATTCAAATTATAACATATTAAGGATGTAATAGTGTTGTGTTGTAAGGATGTATTATAAGTTTGTACGATATTGTGAAAAAAATCACAGCAAACTTCGGGAAGATTACCTTTTGACAATAAATCAGCCTAACGCGGAAATGGAAAGGTTTTTCATGACTTACAATGAGTACGTACATCGTTGGCGCGCATGCATTGGAGGCGTAATTCTCATAACGTTTCTGTTTTCATGTTGGGCCGCTTGATAACGTTGTTGGAGGTAAATCACTATATGCAATAAAGCTGCTAAAGTGGCGGCTCGGGCTTAAATTGCAAGATTACACAACCTCCAAATAATTCTGAAATATTAAACATATATTATAAATATATTTTTTCCTTTTAATTTTATTCAACATATCCAAATATTGCGCAATATCGACGTATGAAATTAATTTGAAATCAAAGAGCGCATGTTGAGCACTCTCGCTGGCGAGAAGATATTAAGTAGCAGAGACGAGGAATGATTGCAAAATGTGTGCGACTTCTGCTTAACAATACCCACGCTTACACCCAGAGAGTATGCTTACACCGCTCAAGCATTTAACGCCCTTTGTACATCCACCTCAATTGCCAGAGTTGGCACTACGTGATGTATTTCTTATTAGAGATTACTCAAGTGTGGTCGTTTTCCCAATGATGGTGATTGCTGCAGTGGGAAACTTTTTAAAGGCAAACGCAGAACTTCTGTAGTAGTGGTATAAGACAAATTACACATCACTGGGGAAAATTTGTGAACTTAGATGTATCTCATGTTGAAAAGGAATGTGCAAAAGCTGAGATTTCTATTTTTTCTGCTTAAAAGTATGAATTTTATGCACTTCCCGTCGTATAATATAAAATAATAATATATAAAAGTATAACATACATTTTGGGCGACAAAACACTTTGCCATACAGTGAAAACCACATCGAAATTGGTTAAACCGTTCTTGAGATTGCATATAAAAATCGTAAAAACAATTGATTTGAATTCATATCACATACTTAAGCACATATAAAAGGCAGTCATTTTGATGTCAGAGCAAAATACGATTTTGTTCGAGAGTCGTGGCAGTGGACACAAAATTCGCTAAATGGCAACGCAGAAAAGCTGTTTTTTCGCTGTTTCCAGTTGCTGTTGCTTACTTAATCACGTGGTTATATTGACAAGCCAAACTGGAGGGCGTGGTCGCTGGTAACGTATAGAAATAATTCGGATTTACGAGGAGTTACCATGACAAACGCAGACGGCAATGTCGTAGCAAGCAACGCAGGTGCCCACCAGTGAGCTTTACGAAAGCCGCTATTCTCCCTTTCAACATTGCCTTACCGAGGAATGGCTGCGGGTGGGAATTGTAGTTGCTGGAGTTCAATTTTAAGATCGTGGGTGACATGGTTGATTTGATGAGCGCGCATTTCTTCACGATGTACGGGAAATCGTTTTAAATCTTGGCGTGCAACATCCTCGACCAGCAAGAAGTAAACGCAGTCGAGTACAAGAGTACCAGAGTAGTGTGAATTTTTAGCCACAACAAACGAAGTAGCGGCATAACGCAGACTCCATCACAGGAAGCAGAAGGTGGAGCAGACGGTGGTAAAGTTTGTGGCCCCCACAAACTCACCTGATAGTAACCTTAGTTTCTTCAAAAAGAGAAAAAGTCCTTTCATATTCCTATACAATAGATACAGAATTTTGAGAGAATTTTATTTCTCAGGAGTTTTGATTCTGTAGTTTTTACTCACTGTAAGTTTTTACGCCACTCACTCGCTCGCTCGATTTTGTGGATGAAACTTATCTAGGTGTAATGATCACACCTAGGACTTAGGTTAGCAACATTTGAAAATCTAGAAATTTTCGTTTCCGAGTTATAGAAAACTTATTTGCAAAGGTGAACGAACTGCAGGTTTGACAGGTGAACAGCAAAAGGAGAGTTCAACAAAACGTGCGCATAATTAAGCTACATTTACGTCCAGAAGAAAACAAGGAGCCACCTCAGTGTTTGCTCAATGTATCAGGGAAACTGGACAAAAACCTGACCGTGATGGGGGTCATTGACCCGGAAGCAGAAGTACATTATTTGTTTAAGCATACTTGCATATTGTCTCTTTAAAAACAATATGCAATACAAATGTAAACTAATTCATTATATATCACTGTTTTGTTAAAATAAACATTATTTTTCTTTTTGATTTCTCTTTTAATTCTCCTCATCCTGTGCCTTAAAAAGATAACTGTTTTCAGAAGCCAACTATAAAATGTAAAGAGAATTGCATGTTAACGCCTCGTAAACTTAGTTTCTTCAAAAAGAGAAAAAGTCCTTTCATATTCCTATACAATAGATGCACAATTTTGAGAGAATTTTATTTCTCAGGAGTTTTGATTTTGTAGTTTTTACTCACTGTAAGTTTTTACTCCACTCGCTCGCTCGCTCGATTTTGTGGATGAAACTTATCTAGATGTAATGAGCACGCACAATTTATTACATAAGTTCTATCAACGAGACCAAAATCATCTACAAATTTATATTTAGCGGGTATAGCTACCATCCGTGGACCGGATAAATAAATATACCTACCATTGCATGACAGCACCCGACTGTGAAGCGCACTACATTTAGTTGCATTCAGGGGTTTGTATTCACTATTCAGGAAATTTTGATAGAGGTGGTCAGAAGTTGGGGTTATATTCAGATTATATTGGTTCATGGTTACCAATATATTGGATGGTGCTTGCTATTGGGTTTATTTACGTCCTATATTCACTGAAAACAAACGGAAACGAAATGGTTGATCGGCGTTTTGGAGGTAAGTTGAGTGACATAAACATCTGCTGTGCACAAAGAGAAACCTATTCCTTATGTATTCAACTGTTCACTATCGTAAGGAATCTTTCCTGCCATCGTTAAAACAATATCCGAAATACCGTTGTTCGAAAAGGAGAAATATATAAAGTTATCATACTTTCTTCACATTCTTATCTAAAATACTAACTCTGGACAATAAAGAATTTCCAATGGGATTTTCGAAAGCATTTACCTTGATAGATCGTGGAATTTTAAAGCTAGAATCTTATGGTATTTATAGACCAAGTTTTCTCATGGATCAAGTCATTAGCCAATTATTGAAATACCTTTTAACAATTGCAAAATATTAGAGCACTATATATTAGAAACCAGGTTAGGGAACAGAGCTCAACTTGGGGACCGTTGTGATTTCTATTATTTATTAATGATACATGAGAAGCTACAGATAATCTTTAAACATTTCTTGTTGCCAGTGACACAATTATTAATTATTTAAATAAAAAACACAGGAACATGTAATAAATGCTGCTGAGAACATTACAGCAATTGGATTTAACATTACAAACTAATTGTTAACACAGAGCAATCAGTGATAATATCTTTTCACAGTCTATGTAATGAACCCTACACTTGCAACAGTCTTCTTGGTACAAGTATCAGTCCAGTTCAAGAAACAAAATCTTGCCTAATTTGTTCAAAATTATGCTACACCTTCTTGCAAAATTTGTTCAAAATAATTTGTAATGGCATACCCACATAGATAGTTTAAACGAAATATATTTATGTTATGTGTTATTCTCTGAAAAGTCTCTCAAAAAATTCTACAGATGACTGTTAGCTCATTACACTTTATAAGCACTTACGCAGTTCTCAAATGTACAATAGTATTCTAAGGATATGCACCTGAAATGCACAAGACATTCAAAATCCAAAAGTGGACAATTGCAAAGGATGACAGACTTAAATTCTCCAGACTAATCATCAAGTCACATCAATTATTTTCCTTACCAAATTTGTATATAGACCAAACAATGATTTTAAAAAGAGAATTCCCAAAGGAAATTAGTATTTCTAATGCGATGCAAATATAAATCACCATTACTCTAGGCAATCAAATCATCAGTATTTTTTACTATATTATAATGTATTTTGTACTAAAATGTCAAGGCGTAAAAACCTCTTGTGTAGAAGTGTATGAGCTAATAAGTAAATAAATGAAATGAAACATCTATCCAACATCGACAGTCAACCAAACTGAAACATAACTTCTTGGCTGTCCATGTGACGCTGCGTCAAGGGATGCCTCTCAGCCAACACTGCGCCGTCACACAGACAGCCAGAAAGTCAAGAACTTGAGCCACAGATTCTTGTGTACAAACTGAAATATGCTACATAGATCAGCATCTCTCTAATAAACTCCAGACAATGAAAGAATATTAACGTACTAATTAAAACTTAAGAAACTAACTAAAAAGTTTTTTCATAATGAAAGCTTACAACAGCATTTATGAATACAAAAACTGAGAAATTCCTGAGGATACTTTCTTAGAAGTAGAAATAAACCTCAGAGAATATCACAGAACAATTTTATGTAAAATTCCAAATTCTTTTATTTAACTTCCCAAATACTTTACTTCAAATTTACTCCAAATACTTTTATAATGATCAATGTTACTAATTACCATGACTTTCACTAAGCACATAATGAAAATGTGTATTAGTTATGTATATTTATGAATACCGTAGTATTTAATATTATGTAATATATATTTAAAAAGTACCATCTCACAAATAAAATGCTAAATATATTTCCAATGTGAATATATGTTCATAAATAATTGTAAGCATGCATAAAATAATTTTATTATGTTGTTGAGAATGTCTGTAATATATGTGGAGATATATTACATATAATCTATGAGAATGTCTGTAATTTAATGTAATACTAGAGGTAATTGGCTTATCAAACATTGTTAGATATGACACTTTTGACAATTAAAAATTATCATTATTATTATTATTATTATTAATAATAATTATTATAGTATATTCGTGAAATCTTGATGACAGCAATACATTTTTATTATGCATTTGCAGATTTCTATGCCGCACTGCCTCCATCAACTTCTGAAGTAGTTGTGGGGCCAAATGCAAATCAAAAATATGAATACAATGTAGTAAAATTGCTTCATAAAATTTGTAAACAAAATACTGAAGATATAAGTGAAGAAGTCAAATGGGTTAGTATGAACACAGCATTTTTTTTTTTATGAGTCTGCAATCTAACCACATTCCATTTTCAGCCTTTTATAATGAGAGGTTTTCGTCGAAAGCCACGTGCAAAGTGTGTGAAGAAAAAAAAACTTTTATCTTTGAAAGAAAGACGTGAATTGGGTTTATATAAACTGAGAAGAAATGGTATGAAATACAGAGATTTTCTCCCTCTTCATAATTTATGGCAAGAGTATTTCATTGATTACATTGATTTTCCTTCATTAGAGGAGCAAAAGTAAGCATGTTTTCACATTTAAAAAAATATATATTTGAAGGTTCACAAGTATTGGCCAGTTTAAGAATAAAAGTGCATTTGTGGAACCACCTTCAAGCAAGGTTTCTATTTTCAATGAAGGTTCTTAGACTTGTGACCCTTCAGGTGTTTAAACAAAAAAAAAAAAAAAAAAAAAAAAAAAAAAAAAAAAAAAAAAAAAAAAAAAAAAAAAATCTTACTGTATTTCTGTGTTTAGCTTTAAACTAAATAGAATTTTTGTTCAGCTTTACTGGCAGCCCAAATGACAGGCAGTTGGGGAACGTTTCATTGAAGCTTATGAAAGCAGACTATCATGGTGCCATATTGTGTGTTAAAAAATCAATATGTAGTAGTCTGGTTGGTAAAAAAGGAATTGTGGTTTTCGATACAAAGAATACTTTTCAGCTCCTGGATGAAGATGATGTTTTAAGAAGTAAGTTATGATTGAAATTTCAAAAAGTAAATGAGTTCACCTATTAAAAATTCACAATCAAAAATTTTATTAAAAGCTGCCTCTTGTTTTCGGGAAAATATTTGCCTTTTTCTGAGCAGTATTCTTTTTTCCTGCTCTTTCTTGCCATTGCTGCTTTCTTGCCTGCTTGAAAATGTTCTGGGAATAAGCATCTACATTACTAAATTCCAGTGCCCACAGATTTTTTTTAAAAATTTGCAGCCTCTAGCCATGCGAGTTATCTAACTGAAACTAACTATTAACTGAAAAAACCAAACCAAAAATTATTAGTTAAAAAATTAAACTACATTTTATATTCAGCATGAAGGAAAAAATCTGTGTCAAGTTGGCTGGACACAATCTGTTACTCACCCTAGAGAAAACACCTTGGTGCGTCTTTTATTACAATTATAATGCACTTTAAGCTAATAATAATAATAATAATGATTTTGTTTTATTACAGTTATCCCAAAAGAGTCAAGTGTTTTTACTTTAAAAGTGCGTGATTTCACATTCACCATTCTGGGGAACCAATTTTGCATTAAATCTTCAATGAGAAATTCAAAAAAAATAAAAGGTTGTATTAGCATGGACCTGTAATAGATCTGAAATTTTCTGAAGAAAAAAACTTCTTTTATTTTTTATAACAATTGTAAATACATTGCATCTTTGTACACAAGTTGTCAAATAAAATAAAATGCACACCTAAAATTTTGTATGTTTATGACTACTTTGAACTGCTACTTTTTTGTCTTAATTTTACAGTTCCTGTATCCTAGATTTCCTGCCCTTTATGAATAAAAATATAATTATAATAGTTTTTAAATGTTTTGCCATTGTTTGCACACATACATAATATCTCAGAAAACTCAATGATAAGGAGAAATTATAAATAAATACCTCTACCTAAGGGGTTGATTTATGGGTCAAGAGATTCAGACATGGAATTAATTTGGGCACTCTGCTGCATTGCAGAGTGCTAAATTAATTCCTAGCCAACAATGAGAACACATCACAATCAAGAACCAGTGATGATATCACATCACATACTTCAACAAAAATCGGACCTGAGCAACATTTTTAAAATGCCTACTTCACTCTCTCTACCTGTGGAAACATTTTGATTTTGAGAAAATCTTGTTTTTAAAATTTATTTAGTGCAAAATTATTTAGCAAGTAGACTACTTGAATTGTTATTTTGGACAATATTGAAAAATATGTCGAAGATATATAAAACTTAATTTAATATTCTTTTTACTTTGTGTTTGTAGCCTTTTAAATGATGTGTGATTCATAAGTCTCCATTCCATTGGCAATGTTTATCTGTGCCCAATTAACTTATTAGGACTCATTACAGGCTTCAATTGTTTAAATTAAACTCAAGTCAAATTAGATAAAACAGCAAAAATAATGGAATTTTTTGAAGGTATACCTTTTTTTCCAAAAAGAATAGGCATTACTTCAACATTATAATTACACTTATTTAATGTAGACGATTCTCAAGTCTACTTGGAACAAGGGATGCCAGATTGCATAAAATTGAACATTTTAAAGCAGTAAAGGAATTATAAATTTTTTTTGACAGCAACAATATAATACACATATGTTGTAATAAAGAACTTACAAACATTTGAGAACAGGAGTCCAATAGCATAGGAAGTAAAAATATTTTCAACAAAAATATTTCCCCTCAGTAAAATTAAATCCACAGACTGAGAAAAAAAACGATCAAACAGATTACCAACTTAAAACTAGCAGGTGATAAAAAGAATATCCAATGGTAACACTTGCATTACAAATAATTTTGTCACCATTAATGAACACATAGTCAAGTGAACTAACATTTGAAGTCTGTTGTGAGATGAGGTCACCAACACTGATGATGCCACACAATTTAACTTGATGCAACAAACTAATAACTTGATGTTTAACCTACTACCATAAAATCAACACAGGTTTGTCATGATCTTTTAATATACCACCCCACATTGGTAGACATTAGGATTATTGTGATAATTCAGTAATCACAATTTAAGTTTATTATTAAATTTATTTTACAAATCAACAACTATAATACAAAAATTTATACAAATAAATAATATATACCGATGTTTCCCAATGGGGTTGGTATGAACCCCTTGGAAGTTAATGAAAAGTAAGAGGGGTTAATAGTGATATAACTTGTAGTGTTTTACGTAAAGGTTTAAAACATTACTAGTTAATATTTCCACAAATTGATTATTATAATATAACAAACATGAATGAAACAAACTGATTTACCATTTTTTCAACATTTTTGTTAATATTTTTTGTCTAATTGTCATTTATGTGCAAGTATTTATATTATGATTACTTTGTATTTCACACAAAAAGTCAATGATTTGACGAAGCAAATCATTGTTTTAAAAAAGACCAGTGCAAGAAAAAGGTTGTGAATACCTAATTTTTAAAGAATGCACCATTCAAGAATAATTGTTTTACAATCAGACCTAGATAAGTAAGTTCAAGCTTAAATATAAACAAGAAAAAAGCGTTGAACCCCATTATCACAACCAAAATTCAATGAATGATGAAACATTAAAGTAAAAGCATTACTTTCAGTCAAATAATAAAATAATGTTGGTAACTGTAAAATAAAAAGGCAAATTGTTCTTATCATATACAAAGTATAAAATATGTTTGGTTGTACATCATTAAGAGTAAGTCACAAGTCCAGAAATAAAATAAATAGTAAAGCAGGTATGGGAAGTTGTCTGGTGCTATAACTTTTGGGCAAGTGTGGCAGTGAACAAAAAAAACGTGGCAGACCAAGGCACAGTATTATATTGTAAGAACCATTGCTAAAATGGTAAAAAAATGTCTTGACATGTGGCATTTCAAAAGAAATTTATGATACCCTCAAAGTAATACACAGAAGAGATACCACCCAGCTTAAACAACTGTTGCTGATGGACTTCTATAGGTTCAGGTGATAACACCAAACATATGATGGTGAAGTTCAAAATATTATTTTCAAACTAAAACAATTTAAACAAGATATATCTGATGAAATGGTTATGGCAAAAATTATTTACTCCTTACCTGAACAATAAAGATATTTTTCCAGTGCATGGGAATCAACTCCCACTTCAGACAAGATCATTAAAAATCTTGTGGTAAAACTGTGTTGAAGAAGAGTACAAGTCTGCAAGTAATAAGGAAGAACCAAATGCTGCTTTTGTTGCTCTAAAGACGACTTGAAATCCTAATCCCAAAAATTTCAAACCAAAGCCAAACATTGGGTGTTATAAGTGTTGAGAGGTAGGTCATATAAAATCAATGCGCTTTGAGAAGAAATATTGTAAGTTGGTGCAACTCCAAGTAGCTAACCCAGACCAAAGAAAATAGAAAACTAATACTAGAAAGTCTGTGCCATTCTGTAGCACCACTAATTATCAACAGTTTCTAATCCACATGTGATAACATACGTGTTCACCCATAAAAAACTGTGCAGAAAACGCAATACAGCCCTTCGTCCTTGTAAGATAAGACAGCCAATAATATTGATGCAAATGACCCACAAATGATTTGACTTTAATTCCTACATTTTGTGTGAACTGAATTTGGGAATACATAGCCTTTAGGGAGGTTTCAATAGTTTTCAAGAAGCATAAGCTTCGGTTTTCTGCTGTCATAGACCGTTTAACCTGAATTTCATTGCATTGCACTGTCCTAATGGATCTGTTTGCCATACATCCCACATTGATACAAACATTTGCACTTATTTCACGCAGGGTTGCTTGTTGGTTAGCATCTACATGGACCCGAAGGGCCCCTGATATTTCTCAAAAAAATTTAATACTTAATTTTTCAAAAAATAAATGGCAGAGTAGAGTGATGTGTTGTGCATCATTATATAATATTTATAATATGGAATGTAGCTGGTTGATGGGTTTCAATTTTATATTGTACATTTCAATAAAAAATTAAGACTATTTAACTTTTAGTCTCAATGTAATTATAAATCTGTTATTCTCTCTTTATATTTTTTTTTGCATAATTTTAAATTAAAACACTAAGAAATACTTTCAAAATAATAAAAACACAAAATACAATGGGATTTCTTTATATTTCGTTATCGAAATTGGGAGGGGGGGGGGGGAGATCGGTAAAGGTAACAAGGATCCCCAATACTGTCAAAACGGCCATGGTTAGTACCGACAACTTGAAGCAAACGCCGCTGCTCTCTGATATTAAGTGAAGGTTGCATGCCACTGCATCGTCCGTGGCTTCCTCTATGCCTACAACTTAATTTGTCTACCACCCACTTTGAGAATTTTTTATTTTCTCGGGCCCCACAGAATTTTTACATTTACATAGTGAGCGACATTTTGCTGCCAAGACATACTTCCAGAGAAATGTGAGCATTACTGAAAAACAGGATTCTTGGTTGAGCTGGGTGTAGCCCAACAAGTTGGTAAATGTACAGATGTACAGGGGCCTTTATGACTTGAAAGTGATTTCATTTTAGGAAGGAGAGTTGGAAATAATGAGTTATGTTATGCGAAATGAAATAGTGTTTGGTTTTACAGGTTCTAGTAAAAAGTGTGAATTTTTAAAGAGGAAAGCATGTTTTGGTTAAAGTGAAATGATAGAATTAAAAAACTGGTGTCTGTATTAAAGTATTGTATATCGCATCTCTCGATTCCTGCAGCAACTAATTTACAAGTAAATTTACTAAACAAGTATATTTCTAAATAGATTAAACTGTTTTTTCTTAACTTTAAAACATGGATTTAGGCTATTTCCTCCTTCAAATTAATACCAATAGTGGCCAACAATATATCTTAGTACACCCCACAATCAAGCATTGCAAAAACATTTTCCTTTCAATGTTTCTTACCTCCCCCAATAGGCCTATTATAATTTACAAGGCACAAGTCTCATAACATGGACATAGTGTAAAAGCATGTTTCAGTAATATATATGGCATGTACTGAAACTCTTCTGGAAGAAATTTCATTCATAGATTTCCAAAGAATGTTGTAGATAATTTCCAGATAAATTACACTATTGCTTTAAGACTGACAATTTATGAAAAATTACAGCAATTTTTTTCCACAATTTGCACTTTGATTGAATTTAATTATTGTAATCTGAATGCCAGCTGTCCCATGAAGTTGACTTAACTCTGCAAGTATAATCCATAAAGGCTTATAACAAAGTTTAAGTTTCCTAAAGCATTGTCTATGGAATGAAAATGTACCATTATTACAGAAGAGGTTTTTGCCTCGCAAACTAAACATTTTTTAAAAAGGGATACATTTTTAGGAGAAGGGAGAGGGGGAAAAAAGAGGAAGATTAAAACTTGAGGACATAATCAGAATGGCATTTTGAACATGTAACAAAAGGGATGGTTCATTCGGTCATGGCCCTTAAGAGTTAAACAAGGCAAAGTTCTACGAGCACCAACATTTCAACAAGCTTTTTATGCAAAGTAAAATGTTCTGCCCCTAAATGATTTTGAATCAAAATGTGAATTATCTTTAAATTACTTTATTATCTTTCTTATATCTCTTTACATTTATAGTTAGTGTCATCACTGTATTACATTAGTTGCATCCATAATTTTGTTCTTTTATAAACATACTCAACAAATTGAAAATAGACTTAACAAAGAAATATCAATATGATTTTCAGAAATAAATATGAATACATTTATAATGAATAAAATATGCCTAATCATAGAATTGCAATAACATTGATTCCTGAACGTTATTCCATAACATAATACCAATTGCTTAAGAATCCTATTGATACCAAAACATGTTTACAGTAAGTGACAAGAATACTTGTTACTATACCCCTGCTGATCTGACATTAAGCAAATTATTATTTGAGGATTTGCTTCAAAGAGCAAGACCAGCTTATGGTGTTCTATTCATTTTCCAGTTGTGTGCTTCTAGTCACCTTAAAGCATTCCTCCATTTCTAATTTCATGAACTTTAGACTGGAATGGATTTACAATATACAGAACCCAAAAGAGTGATTAAACAATTATACGGAGTGGGATTGAAGGCTGTAAGGTACATATTAACACTTGCTTCCAGTCCTGCATTTTGACATTCTAAAAACATGCCGTACTATTCTCCACACACCATAATTTGAGAAACAGTTTCAGCAATTTTTCAGTATGTGTATATATATATTTAAGAATTATATATAATATGTATATACCGGTTTGAGTGAACCATTGGGTTAAAGTAAACTCTCACTGCATTAACCATCAACAGATGAAAGAAGTGGAGAGAAACATAATCCCAATTACTATTAGAAACCAAAACTAATGTCCTTATATTGTCATCTGTTCTTCATGACCTCCTATCTTATAGTATGTTCATAAAGTACATTCTAACAGGAAGATTTTTGCACGTTTAGGAACACCAAAGATGGAAGGACAGAGAAAGATGCAATAAGACAGGATTTTTAAAGTATGATAGTTTTCAATATACCTGATTACAGAAATTTAATGCAACAAAAATTAATATTCTGTACACTTTCACTTATACTAGTTAGCAGCAAGGTCACTGAACTGTAACTAATTTTTTCGTAACAACAAGCTTCCATATCTAGCACGTCTATATCCCAGCGATCATTGCCAATTTACATGAACTCCATCTAATCAGACATAATGCACTCTTCAGAAGCTATCTACAATTGATTGCTTTTTTTAAATAACATCTCATTAGAAAACAACATGACAAAACAAAAAGGACATTCATAAAAAAGACATTTCAAGAACTCACCAACCCTATACCACTGGAAACTATCAACATTTGTTAACATACAAGCCAACTGGCTTTATCATTCTTAAATGCTTTAAATATTACTCAAAGAAAAAACATTTTTACCGGGCAAAATACCAACTGGAGGGTTCCTGGAGATACCCTCGTACCACACGTTAAGCTTACGCTACACACTTGTTTCTCCACGAGGCCTTTGTGGGTAATGCAAATAGTTCTTTGCCTTTCGCGGAACAAACAAGAACAACTATAATCGACACTGACCAACAGCAGCAACAGCAATTGTGGTGGGATGCGACACACTTGTTTTTGTTGCGAGAACACAACACCACACTCTCCACACTCACTGCACCAGTCCTGCGGGCCTGGTCCAAGCACAGTGTGTGCAGAAGGGGAGGCCTAGAGGCACAAGTGCACCGATTCCTCGACTGCTGCTGCAGCAGGACAGAGGGCGGCAGGGTTGCAGGGCAGGCTAGTGAGTGGGCGACACCTACATACTGTAGCCCTGGTATGGCATGCCCTGTGGGTAGGCATTAGGGTACGCTGGAGTGTAACCGGGTCCCATCATCCCAGGGCCTGCTGTCAACATGAGCTGAGGTTCCGCTAAAAGGAGGAAAAAAAAAATCCCACAGAAATAAGTATACAACTGCACTCTCCTTTTACATTAGCATGACAAATGTTTTGAGCAATCATCAATCTTATTAAGAAAATTACAAAAATTGCAATTCAGTTACTCTTGCAGACTGCTAGTTTCCATATGAATCTCTTAGTGCATTGAAGTACAATTACGAAGTACAAATACAAGAGTCCCCTTGGACGTAACTCATCTTTACTTACGCATTATCATAGGTTTATGGTCCTGTTGCGCAGTCTCTTCAAGCCTCTGCGATTCTGATTCCTCAAGTTTATCAACCTGTAGGTGGATGCCAAAGTGAATGAATAAATAAAATTATTAAGCTAATATTAATCCATACTCTTAAAATGTACAGTAGTTTTATAATTTTATAATGCTCAAAGATAGTATTCCGATCTTTAAAACAAAATTTTACAAAATATTTATTCATGAAACAGGAAATACAGAAAATGATACACAAATATAATGAATTAAAATGACTAATCAGGAAATAAATGCACATTCAAGTAATCTTATCAGTGAATCACACATACCTTAGAAATGTATTCTCGTGTGACTTGAACAAGATATGGCATTGCAAAATCCATAATTCCATGACGCCAGGCTAATTCGAGGATAACATCTGGATGAAGCAGATCATAGCACTGGAAGAGGCATGCTGCAAAACAATCATGACACCCTTTCTCAAGGAACCATGCAAGCAACTCTTCTGCCACTTCTGCACTTTTGCTCTCTGCTGCATACTCCATGGCATCCTGAACAAAGACCAAACACACTGGGCGTTACCTTTCTGTTATCTAGTCCTGTCACGTTTATTACTGTAGATTAATATTTTCACCAACTCATTGTAGCCTCTTTTGGGAGAAGTTTTGCTCAAGAGGGTAATGCCACTAGCTGGATGGCTTACTTTTATTCTGTGAAATTGCCTAAATTAGACTGAATTGTAGTTCTAGGAAAAAACATTTTCACTTTGCACTCCAAGTAAAGTTTCAGCACAAGGAAACATTCAGTAGAACCCAAAAATTATCAGAATGAAATTAGAATTAGACAAATACATGTACGCGGAAAATCACATTACTAGTTAAAGAACAAAAATTTAGCGAAAAAGACAGTGGATATAGAAAAGAAAAAAGTAATTTTCTGAATTTGGGAATTTATTCTTTCTTTTTTCTCCCAGAATACTTACAATTTGAGTTATACTTTGCTCTTATAAAAATTAATTAGATTCAAAAACATACCTTAAACAGTCTATCCTTTTTACAGAGCTCTACAGATTGCTTCCAGCGATTATTGCCTTTGTACAGGTATGCAGCAATACGTCTGAATTCAATCAACTCATGCTTCTCTAGTTTCTGTGCGAGGGCGATATTGTCAAAATTATCAAAAGCATCTATCGAGGTGCGCAACCCTTGATAATCTTCCTCTTCGATGAGAAGGTTGTTCAAGGCCTCATTAATTGCTTTGTTGTTGAGAGACTGCACTGATCTTAAATAAGGCTTCACCAATTGAAGGTGATTCACCTGAAATGAAAAAGAATACATTCAAACTCTTAAATATAATTTCATTTATTTATAATTGACAAGTATAAATAATAACTTTAATGACACTAAACTAATGGCTATTACTGACTTTTCAAAAGAGTTAAAAATATTCAGAATTTAGATAATTCAAAAGAGAAAAATGTTGATACATTATCTCTAAATAGAATAGTTCCCCAAATACAGTTGGCTATTACAGTAAACTTAAGTCACTAGCCACAATTTACGTACATTACAAATAAGTATATGAAACAAAGGCCGTGTCCTGCGAGGGCTACAACTGGCAGCAGTGAAAAGCAATTGCTTCCTTCAGTATTAATCTTTGTGTTACTTGACTTTCTGTGGGTTAAAAAGTATTGAGCTAGGGAGCCCACGACTGCCAGAGCCTAACGATATCCACCATGCCACACTGAAAGTAATTTCATTAGCTGTTTGCACCATCCCGCTACTGAAAGCATCTTGTATGTTAATAGGAGAGTAAAAGGGCCATGAGAGATGGACATCATTTCAACAGTGCCAGGGGTATTGAAGGGTCTGCATTACTACACTTGACACAGAGGACAATATAGGATCAATTATGGAGAGAGCACAAACTGTGCTGTGGAGAAGGATGTAATGAAAAAGTGCAAAGAAACAATTGAAAAGAAATTTTTTTTTTTTTAAGGACAAATAAAGATGTTGAAATTTTCAGTTCCTGCTGTTAATGTATTTTGCTAAATCTCTATATTAATAAGGTCAATCATTATGAAGAAATTCTATTTAATTTTGATATTGTCGGATATAATGAACAAAAAATACAAGTTTGCAGAAGTTCACTATAATCGGAGTTGACTAATAGTGTTGGGGATATTTTTGTTCCGTCTCTTGCTATTCAAGGAATTTTCAAATTAAAATCAGAGCCAACTTTTACTCATTATTATAAAAATATTTGATAAAGGAACATTTGAGCAGACTTCACAGAACACAAAAACATGTTCTGAAATCAAGCAAAACCTACCTTTGTGAAGAAATTGACAGATCTTGTGTGGTCCATCCTTGGTGCAAGGACAAGCAGCACATCATTCAACAAAAGAGGTTTGTAGTCCAAGTAGAACTGAATAGCTTTATAATACAATTCAATATTAGCCACCTATAAGCAAAAAGATTCTCTTTCAGAAATCCTTCCAAATGCATGATCCAACAGAAAATTACTTTCATTGCAGTGAATACCTTCGTAATAATATCTTTGAAGTGGCCTTCTCGCCATGCTTCTGTAGGATGGTTCATCATAGCAATAACTGCATTATCATATTCTTCATATTTATCATACAAGAAAACAAGTTCTGCCCACAAATGAGCTTGTTCTGCTGCCCGTAATACCTGTCACCCAGAAATATACATTGTGGCATTCAAAGGAATTACATTTTACAGAGTTCATGATCACATACAAAGTATATTGCAAAAAAGAAGAAAACTTACCTTTGGAATGTTAACACGAGACCAGAAAAGCTCTAGATGTTCACGCATCTTGGCTGGTTTGTACTTTGAATAGAGAATTGCCAGTTCTGTAAACATCCCCATGTGCGCTCTTTCTAAACCTAAGGCAGCTTCAAGGAGATTGATGAGTTCTTCAAAGTAACCTCTATCCTGAAAAAATAATCATTTCTATTCAATATATAAATGAAAACTATAATGGATAATAAATAAATAAAATAAAGGTATTAAATAAAATTCCTTGAAAAATTTAATGAAAGCACTTTTACACACATTTTCTAGAACAAGTAGTTTGTAAATAATTCCTGTTCCACAAAAAAGTACCTGGTAGTAATTGATGAGGTCCTCAAGCTCATCTGCATGGACAACTATGTGCAAACCACACATTTGGGCCAGACGAAATTCTTCACTGTCTACACATGCAAAGCAGACTTCTTTCCATGTTCGTGTGCTACACAAAGAAGCAATTCTAGTTAATATCCCTTGTGTAACATATACAACTTGCATTTCAAAATCTTTAAGTACTTAACTTAATGTTTTCATATTTTTGTTTTTTTATTACAAGCACATCTGTGCTAATGTATTATTGCCTTTTGAAACCCTATCACTATAGATAATTTTACATCTAGGCAAGTCATTTCAAATGGTTAAAAAGAAATTGTGAGTTTTCCTTATAAATAATCCTTTACAATTTTGGCATCAGAAGAAGCGTTTTTGTGTGGTATGTTTTGCACTCTGCTGGACATCACCAGAACTAACTGTGTGTTTCCAAGAGGTCCTGATGAGTCAGGAGGTCAGGAACAACATTTGCAATTTCGACAGTTAACTGTTGCTTGACAGCCCAATATCAGAAGTGATCACAGGACCACACTCCACTCAGGGCTATCATACGCACCCCACTTATGTCAAATCACAAAATTTTCATTTTTAGTAAAGTATCAAAAAAGATATTTTTCCTTGGACAACATTTGAAAATATCCTCAGAGCTTCAACTTTTTTTAAACACATCTTGGAATTTATAGAAGACAAAATGGCAAGAAATTGCTTTGCAGTACACAGTATTTTGCAGGAAAACTACATTTGAAATATTTGTTCACCTAATAAAAGAGGTACATTTAAAAAGATATGAAATGACTCACCCTGTGTAGATATTATTATAACTACATGTGTAATGAGTGGTATAATTGGAATTGAGAAAAAAATTTAAATTTTATCAATTTTTGAAAACTGCAGTGAGGTCACCAATAAACAGTGTTTCACAATAAAATACTGAACTTCAAATAAAATACTGTGAAACATTTCAGTTACCTATTTGCTTTCCTTGCTCCATCCACAGCTCCTTGGAATTCTTTCAGGTGAACTAATGTAATAGCCAGTCGGGCAAAGTTTGAGACATTATTATAGAGCAATTTGGCTGCTTCATACATACCATCATCAAAGCACCGGTCACCAATCTACATATACATAAAAAAACATGGTTTTGTGAGAGAATTAATTTGAAGATACTGCAATCATCAGTGTCAATATATTCCACAATTTATACATAATTGAATTGAAGTTATTATCAACTTTACTGAACAGCCAAACAAAATTCGTTGCAGGAAAGTTGAAAGGCAAATTCCATTATCATTTTTCCCCCCCTAGTCCCGTGAATAACAACTTCATACTAAATTACTTCTAAATTATGTATTGGTAATATGGACAGTTTAGTAGATGCTTAACTGGTACTATACTACTGGGCTATGAAAATTGTTTAAGTTTAAACATCAATAGTTATAACATAAGTTGTTACTGTTACTGAGAGAATATGCACGATAGGTAGACGTTTGCCTGACACAAAATCGCTCATGTTTGAAATACAGTAATAACTATATTGTTTAAAAAATGAATTTATAGCCAACTAATAATTCTTTAAATCATGATGAAAGATTTCCAAAAGAGTACAATTAAATCTGTTCAATATTTTAATGCAGAGAATTATATTGGTTTAACTAATATTAAACATGTAGAATTAAATATTAAATATACCTTTTGAATGTCAGCATGGTTAGGCCCAGAAATGAACTCTTCCAAATCTGCTAATCTGTTTGTGCGAGCATAGGCATAAATCAACTCTGATTCTATGTATGATTCCCGAGCCTTCTTGCGAGCCATTTGTAAATATCTTACAAGATCTTCCCAGCTCCCTGGACAACATTAAAGACAAATTATAATTTTTCTATATTGAAGCCAATTCTTCAATGATTATTGACATTCTTTCACACCTGTTTTGTGAGCCGTTTCCACTACATCCATGTAGGCAGAGGGATCATCGGCTTTAATGAAAGAGTCTATGGCTTCCTTCACCAATCCCTGTTGAAGCTGAGCTTTGGCAAGCTGGCTCCAAACAGCAGGTTCATTGCAACGCTCTGCAAATTCATAAGCTCGATCCAGGTTATTTACATTGTCAATGAGTACTTGAATGGCAGATGTATTGACATCAAATTTCTTGAAGATCGCAAAAGCTTCTTCATACAACTGGTTGTTAATGGCAATATTTGCTATATCAGGAGCATCATAGTTGTCCAATCTAAAAAACATTTAACCATTTTAGATAATAGTTTTTAGAAACTCTATAAGACACATTTATACTTCACAACTAACACTTAACTTTATTGGACTAAAAATACAATGCACTCGAAATGCCACTAACTGGGCTTTCATATTTTTCCAAAGAGCAGTAGATAAGTTTTGAGAAATTCAAATTAGCATAATTCAGTTTCAAGTACCTATCTACTAGTTTGAGTGAGTTAGAATTTTCTGCATACCTATTAATGTACTCCATTACACGACTACGATCAGCTTTGATAGCTGTTAGTATAAGCAGGTTTTGCAAGTTTCGATGATCACTGAACACAGAATTATCTAGCACAATTTTTTCCAACAACTCTATTAATTCATTAGGAAGATCTGCAGTCATGAAAGCTTTTACAGTGACAGAAATGTCTTCTGGATCCTGAGTTTCTGATAATGCTGTTTGCACTACCTGTACAAAGAAAAAACATACAATATACTTAAATAGCTAATAAAGTTTTTTGCAAATCTTATGCCATAGTTTTGATAATTCCTAAGATTATTTGTTTTTAGAAATGCACTCTGCAAGCAAGGACAAATTGCAGAATTGAAGAGAGAGAGAGGAAGGAAAAAACAAACAAACAAACAAACAAACAAACAAACACACATTATTTACGTTAAAAAAAACGTTATTATTGACGTTATTAAAAAACATTAAGTTTTCAGAAAAAGTTAAATAATTTTTAGAAAAAGTCAAATAATTTTTAATACAAATGATATTTAAATGTGAGAAATAAAATAAAGTTACTGCATTTACCAGAATACATTACTAGCTTTTCCCCCCTCAACATCTAATTTGAAAATTGTTTGGGATCATCTTGTAAGCCTTGGCAGTTAGGATTTATGTGATGACACTGCCTCTCCATACAAAGAAGAAATTCAAATGCTGACAAAAACTACAAAGGCAATTAAGGTCTTTACACCCAATTACACTTTCAGATTGCCTGTTGGCATCCAGTGAAACTTGCTGGACAATTCTGATCAATAATTGGGTTGGTTAAAAAAAGAATCACAAACAATTGGCATTTTAGCAAGTGAAAATGAATAAAAATCATTGTTTAGATTTTGTTACATGATGTGCTAATCAAGGTGGCCTCATGACCTCTTGGTTTGATTCCCGGTGACAATCTGTTTTGCAGAGATGAAAATGAAAGAAATCTTTTACAGAAGTATGCATTCTTCAAATAAATAAATAAATAAATAAATGAAATAAAAAATAAATAAATAAAATAAAAAAACAACTCAACAGCTGGATGCTTTTGAGTTAGGAATAGAGATGTACAAGTTGCTGGCCACAACAATCAAACAAACATTTGTTTGTGCAAATTTAAAGTATAGAAGGAAGAAAGGAAAGAAAACTGTGATAGCTCAGGCCATACCAAGTTTTAACTTTCTCATTAACTGCAGAACTCTACATAATTAGATCATTTGCAATGAACAGAAAGCATTAAGTCTGAACAATACTGTAGGTAGACACGTTATCAATTCTGACAATCACAAAATAATCTTCAGAAAGCAGCACAATAAAATGGAGAAAGAAAATGGAATGAAAACACCAAGCCAGAAAACTTAAAGAGTGGGCTTTTTAGGGGAAAAAAAGAAAGAAAAAAAAGATAGTAAAAATGGTAATAAACAGCAAAATGATAACCAGTGTGCGATTAGAAGAAGCACAGAAAAGGATTCTGAGAAGTCTCTGCAGAGCAACAAAATTAGATAGACACAAATGAAGATCAGAAAAATAAGTGACATTTGTGAAAGTATTAAGGAATATAAAAGAAAATGGGAAAACACAGGCACAATGGAAGAAAATTACGACGACCAAAGCTTGTACTGAAATACAAATCTACAGGCAGAAGAGTGAGGAAGATCAAATAAGGGATGGATTACAGGACAACCTGGAGGACAAACCACCAGGTATACTGAACAGGGGCAGGTTCCACCTAAATCAAGTAACAGTTTTTAGACAATAACGGACGATAATGAGGATCAATTCAAAAATTACATAAATCCATCTGTATAAATACATTTGAAGACATTTTCTACTAATGAACAAAAGAATTATATATATACATTATCAAAAAAACACTTGCCTGGTCAATTAAAGGTCTTTTGTATGGATTAATCTCATTTAGCACCTCTGCCCACAGTTCTGGATCTCTCCTCCTCACAAGATACCTGCCAGGAATTTTATTTTTAATGTTGTAAATTTTCATCACAAATCACATCATAACACAACATGAAAGTTTACCTTGCTTCTGATTTAAAGAGAGAGTTTTCATTGCACACATTGATGAGTTCTCTATCACACTGCCCTCTTTCATAGGCTACACAAGCAAGATGTGGGTCCCTCTTCTCACAGTATTTTCCTACTACTCTACTATCGTAGAATTGATTCTCCCTGAATAAAAACAATTTTACGTAAGCATATCGCAAAATAAAAGTTAATTTAAAATTCCTTTTTGTGAAACAAAACCTACTTGAGAAATCTTTCAGGATTGTTATTACTGTCTATATAAATTTTGGCCAAGGCATTATGAGTAGCAGGTTCTACACAGCCTTCATGTACTCTTGATTCCAGCCATGGAAGCAACAATTTCAGCCTATTTCTCTTCTCAACTTCCTCCACTAATTCATCAGTGGAGAACTGTCCTCGAACAACCAGAATTAAGTTCTTTATAATGTCTTCTGAACAGTCAACATCTAGAAGTCCACCTATCACAACTGGCAGTCTTGATGGATTAACCTATAACATTTACAAATTTTCAAATTATTTCAAAATTTACTGAAAAATATATTTCAAGGCAAGTTATTCGATATGCAGACAGACATACCTTTTGAACATAGATCTCAATATATTTCTGTAAATTGTTTCTATACAAATAGAGAACAAGGTCATGAACGAAGTCAAAGCGATCACAAACTATGATAAGAGGTAACTGATCTGTCAACTTTGCTTCTTTAAGGAAGTTCTTAACTCTTTCTGGGTTGTAACAATTTGATTCCCGGCAGATTCGCTCTACTTCCTTTATTTGACCTGTTTTGCATGCAGCCTACGAGAAAAAAAATTACACATTCAATATATAAATACCATTTTTAAATATTGTTCTAAAATTATAATTCCATTATTTTAAGTTTGGTTACCTGTATATACTTGAAGTGCACTTCTTGATCCTGACTAAAATTGACTATTGAACCAAGGAAATAAAACAGTCCTTCATAACTCTTGAAAGACTCAAATAAGTCAATAAGGGCTTTTGTAGTAAGTTGTTCATGGTACTTGGTAGCAATCTGAAATCAAGGGAAATAGAACGGTTACTTTTCAGAAAAAAAGGCACCCCAAACCAAATACACAGATTACATCTACAGGCAAAACAACACACCTGGACACATATTTGAAGATTCTGTCTGATATTTGCAGTCAGCATAGCTTTTAAACATTCCAAAGAGTCTTCCACAGACAAGGTACCAAAATATCCAACCAGCCACTCAGGATTGAGAAGATGTGTGTGAACCACAGCTCTCTTTATATCATATAAATCTGTTAAAAACAACAAACAAGGTGAAAGTATGTTTCACTCTAATCGGTTATTAATGTTTTATAGTACAGATTAATACTAGAATGCCCAAAAACATTTCGATTCTTAGTGCTCTATGTCCAAATAATGTCTGTTTTTGAAGATACACAATTACCAAAGCCCACCTTTTCATCATGTCCATTATCCAAACAATAATTTTAATGAAAAATAACTGAATTTACCTAGAAAGCCCAGGAATTCAAGACGTCTTGAGCATTGTCCCCATTGTATAGCTTCTGTGTCATATTTCAATGCTGAAAATGTTTGCATACTTTCGGATACTTTCTGAAGAATATACGTGAACGTTCCTTCCAACTTTCTTGTTTTTTGCCCTCTTGTTCAATTCATACAAATTCACAAGTTTTGTAACAGTGACAAATATATCACTAAGTTTTGAAAAGAAACTTATCTCAAAGGAATAGCACTTATTACAGAGATTGAATGAAAATATTTGATTCAAGAATTCACGAAAGAGAAACGTTAAAGAGTTTAAAAGATAATTTACATGTACAGGAGGACATTTTAGACTCCTGATGGTATTGATGGTCAGATACATGTACTTAGTGGTTTTTTTTTTTTAAACAGTCTTGATTCATGATTTTCAAATTAATGAGGGGGTTTGAAAACAAATCCCCAAAGATTTCACTGATTTCATCTGAAAATTTATTTTGCATTTGCATGATGTGATACCTTTACAAACTGTAGCTATATTATGCATTATTGGAATAGAGTTGATATGCCATGCATCATTGGAAGAGAGTTGACATGCCATCATTTTCCTCCCAAACTATGCATTTACACATTTCATGGCATGGAAACCAGATGAAAGCAGCAAACAATTGTGATGTTTAGGGAATGATCACTAAAATGGTGCCAATGATTTCCCAGACATTGGAAATATAGGAGACACATTGTGAAAGATTAGAGGAAACAACTGAAAAATGTAGCCATGAACTAAGCAACAGGATATGAAGCAGGTGTTGATTGAACATCTGTAGTATTCCACAAAAGGTGCTTGTCAAAACGTTAAGTCAGTAATGTAGAAAGTAAATGGAATCCCACACAAAAACTATTGCCATTTGAAACAGTGGATTAAATTTTCTTTTAGAACTCGATCGTGAGTCACCAAGTTCATATTGGTGTGAAACACCACAAATAATAGCTATTAACATACTTTGACATTTCATGAATTATTACTGCAGAGGCCAAAAGTTAACAATCAAGGTAGTGTGTTGCAGAGTTGAGATTTTGTTTGGATGAGGTAATAATAACACTAACATGTCATGGCATGTTGAGCATTTTAACGGCCACCATAAAATCATGATTTATGTGAAAATTTTGACATTACTGTGATAGTAAAACACATGAATTCTGTTGCCGAGGCATGTTACTATAATATTGTGAGGTGTTGCTTGCTATATCTATTTAAACCAGCAGTCGCCAAACCTTAGCCCATGAGCTACTGGTAGCTTGCAGGGAAATTTTTGGTTCTTCACAGAGATATTTCAGTCACAGTGTTTCAGTTGGCTAATCTATACTACTCATCTCCCCTATGCACACTATCTGTGAAGTGTGTCTGGTACACAAAAGTGAGTGCAGGTTATTTTATTGAATGTGTGTGAAAGCAATCTTCAGCTCAACATACACATGAGAGATTTCATTTTCTGTTATGAAATTCATTAAAAACAAATACACGAACTGGTTGACTGAAGAATATTTAGACAACTGTATTCAAATGCCTGCTATAACATACGAGCCTAACATTCAAAAATGGTTTATGACAAAAGAATGCCACCCCTCACATTGAACCGTTTTTCTAATACAAATATTCAGTTATTTAAATTTTCACACTATTAATTGCTGTTAAAAGTTACATTTAATTATATTAAATATACATTAGAAATTTATATTTATATGTAATAAACAACTATGTTATTTAAACAAAAACTTATTACTTTCCTACTTTGATGGGTAAGACACAGTAAGGTTCATAAGCTGTAAGGTAGCTTAATCGCTTATAAGTTTGGTGACCTGATTGAAACAATATTCATATAACATGGTTTGACAAAAGATGGATACAAATAATTCTACTGAACAAAGAAATGATGTTTGGGTGAGGACGTTGGTATGCCAACTTCCAGGGACACAGTGTCAGTAAATATGATTAACTGAGAGGAGTGCCATTTGGAGGAATGTTAGCTTAATTTTCCTATTCCATTTTTTAATTGCACTGTTAATATTACAATTAACAATAAGTGCAATTCAAAGGAAATACATTTTTGTGTAATATGTGAAACTAGTATTAATTGATATTGAATGATAATCATAATAGTTATAATAATGTTATAATAAGAAATGTATATTATTATTACTATTATTATAATAACAATATTACTCTTGGATTAAAGTTTACTTTTCAACACCAACTTTTGTGCTTTTACTTGTGCATTACAGTCAAGAGGCTTCTTCAACTCACATTCTGCACAACAATAAACATATAAAATAAACATGAAACATTAAAATGTATTTAATGTGTGAAATGATACTTTTTTGAAAACTAAATTATTATATTTAATTATCATATGGTGATGTAGATACACAATTTTGCGATATTTCCTTTTAAGCAGTATTGTTGAAGGCTTGGATTGTAACGAACAAGGCTGGGAGTTCTAAGGGTATTGATATTCCACAAATTCTAGCGTTAATAATGTCTCATTACAAGGGAATCACATTCAGTCAGCTCAAATATTTCAATTTGGAGCAATTTTGTATCCGTGCCCAGTGTTTTAGTTAACTTTAGACTAGATATATCCACTATGTCAATGATGACAATATAACACATATCCAGACTAAAGTTCAATACAATTCAAAGCAGAAAAGAAAAAAGGGAAAAGAGTGAAAAACTGAAAAAGTCTAAACTTAAAGTTATTTAAATCATAATACATAAGAATGTACATAACTTTGTACATGCATACGTATATGGGAAAGTAAAAAATGAAGATTTCTTGGAGGTATGGAGGAAGAGAAATAATTATACTATTCACAATTCCCGATGTAACTAGTGGTACTAAAAAGGCACCTTTAGAACAGATTTCATTAAGAGAAAATCTCAATCTTTAATATTTTAATTTTAGGAAGAGACCGAAAAAAATTTTGAACTTTGCTAATTTTAAAAAAATTCGTGTTTTTAATGAACATAAGACCTGCATTATTCTCTTAAACATCCTACACACTATCCAACAAAGTTCACAGATGGACAGTTTCTTCACCATCAATTAGTCACAATGGAGAACACACAAAACCTTGATTCTTGTGTTGGATCTGATCCATGTGTTAGAGAATGTCTTTTTTAATTTAGGAAATGGATTTATCCTTTTCTTCATAACAAGTACTCAGCAATAAGAGTTTCTTTGAAAAATTCCCCGTCTTTTCTTGCAGCATTACATTACATTTTCTCTACCCCGCAGCAAGAAAGTAAAAAATTGCAAAAGGAAAGCTGATTATTTCACATTTTCCTTTGCAGTATACCTCCGTGTAGCACACATTCCTTGCTTACCAGTATAATGCTCTAGGGCACGCTGAAGAAGACCAGCTTTTTCACACAGTTGTGCAATATGAGCACGATCATAATGAGTGAACATTTGGTTGCCGAGAATAGCATCAGCTACCTGAGGAGCTGACATCAAATTCATTTCTAGCAGACGAGTTTGTAATGGACCTTCTGCAGGTCTATTGTTCTTCAGTGCATCTAACAAGAAAGCTGTACATTGTTGTACCATGTTCTGCTCCATGAAGATATCGACAATCTATATGAATAGAAGTAAATTTCTCTCATTAGTATTCTGCAACAACTTTTTATTCAATCAGGGAAACAAGAAAAGGAAGAAGCAAAACCAATCGCAAAAACTCTTCAGGACCTCATTCATGTTAATATCATTCACAAGCATTCAGAGTGTGAACAGCCAAAAATTATAATCATTGATCCACTCACTACTCCATACAAATACAAACCATGTCAAGAAAGCATTAGTTAAAGGCACAAATATGCACAAACAAAATTCAAATGCAACAAAATAAAATTTCACAATACAATATATTAAATAATGCAGCATTCCAAGAAACTATGTTAATGAACTGATTTTGAAACAACTCTTGGTAAGCCTTCAAGGAAACAAACCTGGTTAATATCAGCTAAAGGTTCATCATCTTGGACTAACATTTGTGCAAACGATACTCCTTGGTCAGGGTTGATTCTCATTACATTTCGCAGTAAGAAGACATATTCAGGAGTGTAACCCACTTTCTTTGCATACAAAACAATTTTTTGAAACTGGCCAGTTTCAGCAAAACACTGGATCACCTGTAAACACAAGAATGAACAAAATTAATCTCCGTAAATAGAAATCCCAAAAGAAGCCCTTAGTATGTTTTTTAACAAACATTTTACCATTTCAAAGTACATCAGAAAATCTAATGAACTTCCACAGTTTTAATTTCACTACAGCACGAGGTCCTGGAAAGTAGATACTGCCCCCATTCATAATTTAAGGTTTTGAGTTAATTCAATGACTTCATAAAATGTTTATGATTATTTTCAGTATCATGAATATTAGACCAATGTACCCATTTACCATATTTCAGACATTATAAGAGAAGATATCAAATTTTCAAACTTGAAACTTTGCAAAGATAAAAATTAAAACAAACCAACAACAAAATTTACCTTGTTTGGAACATTAGCTCTAAGGTAAACTGACAAAGCTAGTGTGGGATCTGCTTGTTTCACCAAGTCTCCCAATTCTTCTGAGCACTCCAATTTGTCTTCTTTGAGCCATTTCTCAAGAAGTTGTTTGCGCCCTTGTTGAAGAACAGGCCGGCAAAGCTCTAAAGACTCATATTTGTTTAATTGCCCCTAGAAATGGAATATATATTAAAGCCTCTGCATAACTTGCATGTACTCCCAACATTTTGATAATTCATTCAGACTGAGAAGGATTGGAAATTATTCTGTATACATCCTACAAAAGTACCTTACTTAAGCATCAGCAACAACAAAACAACAACAACAACAACAACAACAACAACAACCACCATCTGGTCTTTCTTTGCATGCAAAAATTAAATTAACACACTTCAATTTAATATAAGCATTTGCACACATCCAATGTAGAAAAGACTTCCTTTCACACAATTAATGTTAAAGAAATTCAAGTAACTGGCAGAATTCTCAGCAAATTAACATTTTCAGAAGTATAATTCATTAGTATGAAGATCTCCATGTTGAATTTTGAATCTAACATGTGATACTACAAAATAGCACAGACTTTCCCGTATTAGTTTTCTATTTCCTATGGTCTCTGCTAGTAGAATGGAAATCCTATTTTAAGAATATTAAAGAATAGTAAAACCTTGTCCTGAATGGCAATTTTCTCTGAAAAATTTGGAGTGTTTTTTTAAGGAAAATGACACTTAAGCACTGTTGTAAATTCTCAATTTTAAGCCCTTAGATAGAAAATTTGAGTTTTCAAAGAACTTCATATGAAGCATTTAACTTGCAAATACAATAGTGTGTATAATTTGCTGGAAATGTGCATATTACCAGTGTGAGAAATCTTTTAAAAAAAATTACATTTGTGTATTTTTTGAAAAAATAATTTGGAGCAGTTTTTGAGAAAATGGCGTTTGAGGGTTTTTGAAATTGCCAAATTTCAAAATAGTTTTGACAGAAGACAATCTAGTTTTCAAGAAGCTTTATAAGACATTTAAACCACATGTACTTGTATATATAATAATGTGATGCAATACAATTGTTTGTTGTTTCAGCACCACGATTTTGAAGTTTGCATCATTGCAGTGTCTGCACCCTTTTGCAAAGTTTGAATTTTAACCTCGTTGCTCAATACCAAGATCTATTATGTATGGGTACTCTTTTACTGCAAAATTTATTAGTGTAATCTACAAGAAAAGTTTGCTTAGCATTTCACTTCAATCACTTCATGCCACATCAATTGCAATACGCTATGCACAACAATTGTCAGAATGAATGCGAACATGCTTAAGAGGTAGGCTAAATTTAAATGGAAATAACATTTTACTGTTCAGTAAAGAAAAAATTAATCCACATTCTGTTGCAATTGCAAGACAGCCCCACGTTTCGGCTGTAAATTGAGGGGAAAAGAATAATCTTGGATCCAGACACAGAAGGTAATATCTTAGAAGCAATTCAAATCACATTTAATAAATAGTTCACAAATAGCCTTTACAACTATTAAAGGCAACATTTCATGTCTTTAAAAGAAGAGTCCCACACCATTCTTGAATATGAATAAAACTTTGATAAATTGATTCTACAGTAAAACATTTTATTTCCTCAACTTTATATTGCAACAAATTAAGTAATCTGAGTAGGAAGGGTAAACCCTGAAATACAGGTTTTAAGAAAAACACATTGCAATATTTCTGTACAGCACAAACTCAATAAAATGTATCTATGAGAAAGAGGGACAAATTGCTCTTAATCTACCCTTGTGCATGTGGTTACAAGCATACTTCATAATGATAAATGTAAAAAAAGTATTTCATGTTGAGGGCACTCTTACTACCAGGAACAATTAACAATTCAGGGGCTTGTTTCATTTTCTAAAGTTTATGTTCAATCAGTTGGTCGAGTTGAAGTCCATCAACCCTCATTTACATAAAAATTTACCTGGTCCAGCAGAATGCCAAAGTATTGTAAGAGTGGGGAGGTCTGGCCCTGAGGAGTGGGAACCTGCTGAAACCTCTGAATGGTTTGAGGAGTGCGTAGAATTCCTTTTGGAGCATTTGCTGCTACCTGCAGAAGATGAATTTGCATGTGAAAAAAAGAACCAATTTAATTCCATTTTAAGGCTTCATTTACTTCGATCAACATACCTTGGCTGCCTCAGCATACTGTCCATTTTGAAACATTAAATTGAATTTGCGAACAAACAAATCCTCTGCCCCAGCCAAATTATTTCGAACAGCCATTCGAAGAGCTAAATCAGGATTTTGTAACACGCTATTGATGTAAGGAATTATGTTATCCTCTTCTACAGAAACTGACAAAACCTGAATGAGAGTATTCATTTATTTTATGCTTCCCAGTCTGCATTGTAAATCAATATACAATGTATGTCAACCAGCATGCAATGTAAATCAACCTACCTGCCCTTTACGATTGACTCCAATAATGCCACCTGATGCTTCATGTGGTGCTGTCACAAATATAGTGTCACCACTGATGCGATTCATATAAATGCATGTAGCCGTTTCTATGTCGTACATGTGAATATAGCCATATTTTGTGATGAGATAAATTACATCGTATTTCGCACTAACCTAAAGAAAAAAAATTAATAGGAATATGTATTCTCAAAGTTCAAGAAAGTTTCTAGGAGAATTTTTCATTATGGAGTACTTCAGAAGTCTCAGCAAATTCTGACCAGTCTTACCTGCATTGCTACAGGGAAGTCATTTTGGGCTTCTGGAGGAAAGAAAACATCAACAGCTTTCTTAGCAAAATTTTGGTTGCCAGCCGGTGGTTGACCAACTTCAATAATGTGTAACTGCAATGGATATAATAGTATCATTTCAATTGCCAATGAAAATGTAGCATAGATATATAATATTAAATGTTAGTAACATTCCACTCACCTTGCCACCCTGAACAGTCCTTACAGCAAAACAGAAAAGTGTGGAAAGTTCTGCATTTCCTTCCATTTTAAATTGAGCAAAAGATGCTGCATGACCTTCAATGGGTTGAGAACACTTACGTTCCACTGAATATAACTGCATAGCACCAACAACCCTGTTTTGCTAATGGAAAAAGAAAAACAAGAATATGAGAAAATAAAAAAATAAGAAAATGAAAACAGAAGTTGCGAATCAAAATTATATCACTAAAAGGTTATGTAAATAGCTGAGAGTAACTTTTGAGTGGTCATTACTACAAATTTTCACATTTTAAAGATACTTTGCAAATTAATTTTTTTTAATTTAGTTTGAAAACTTTGGATTTAATAAACATGTACATCTAACTAATGAAAACGGTTAGAAATTTCACATCTGTTCCTTAGAATTTACATTTTTTCCATAGATTCATGATTTATGTAATTCCCACCTGTGCAGAAATGCCAATGAGCAGAAGCCACGACTGTTTGGGATCTGTTCGGTAATTTATGATCTGGCAACCATTAAGACTGGAATGGCGATCAAACATTTTCTGAGGAATCGAATCTCCTGCAACCATATAATATTCCGTTAACATTCACTCAGATTATTGAAAAAAAACTGCACTCTGTTTTTTATCATAACACAAATTTCAACACGTGCGTTCAGAGTGTGAACAGCCATATTAGTATTATAATCATTGGTTACATTGTTAGAATCAAAGATGAATGACAAAAATCAAGCATTGAGAATCATTAGTTACTTCTGAATGCAAGTTAGTTTCTTTCAAACAAGTTTAAGATGCAATAATTTCACATACAGTAGAGCATATATTACCTGCATGAATCAATGATCAATAAAATATTCTGAAAAATTGAATAAAATCTGCATGCAATAAAACTGGATAGAGACCAACCATAAATTACATAAAAAATTGGCTCATTTTCAAGACATCCTTTTCTACCTTGTAACATACCCATAATGTGCTTTAACCCTCCTAAATAATTTTGCAGTACTCGAGACCCCCCTCCCCCTGTAAATGCAAGAAATTGTAGCACAATAAAATAAAAAAATGCATTCTTTTTGTTTGTTGAAAATTAACAATTATGATAATTAACGCAGGAATTAGATGGTGATGCAGACTGCACCTAACAATAAGGTTGGGGGAAAGTTTTAAGTGAAGGAAAAAATGCATAGGTGAGAAAACTATTACATGTGCACAGTTGTGGATAACACATTGGAAAGAGTCTACTACGCCAATTTAAATGGATTCTTGAATATTTTCTTGTAATTTTACAGATTGAATAAAAAACAATTTCTTGCAACAGTTTATGTAATAACTTAAATAATGAACATCAACCAATACTCTCTACCCCTATGTAATGCAGTTAAACACTGCCTCAAATCTCCCCTCCCCCTCCTTTTAGTGTTATGTAATTTATGAATGACTCAAGCAGGAATATTACACTGATATACAAAATATATTTATGATGTTTGGATTATTGCAATGTTTAATTTTGAATCATGTTCATATTTCAACTCAAAACACACAAAACTTCAACAAAAACAAAGGAGGAATATATACCTACAGAATGGATATATACCTACATTCGTTTTTTTATTTCTTTCTACATAATATACTTCACAGAAATTTAATTAAATTTGAAAAATAGAAAGCAAGCATCAAAGCATACACATTTTATCTTAGTATAGTGTACTACTCGTTAGAACTTTGTCTTACTAGTTTTTTTGATACAAAAAATACAAGGTCAGTCCAGAGAATTAATTGTTCGATGTTAATCGATGACCAGTTAATCTATGCTCTACTTTATTGCACAATATTATATCTGAAACACCTCTGCTTACCTTCCATACTCCAATGGTACACAGATGTTTCTGTGACCAAAGCCAATGTGTTTAGGGAAATCCACTTCCAAAAAATAACTTCTTCAGTCATTGTGTGGGCTTTCATTTTACTCTTCATCTCTATATTGAAGATCTGCAGTGTCTTCTGGGCTGCTCCGCCCGTAGTTGCAAAAGATAAAATAAGTACACAGAGCAAAAATCCTTTTTTTTCTTTTTCCTTCATTAAGATTTTCTGGGCTACTCATGCTAAAAATGTTGGGATGCCAAGAAAATCTCTCCGCACATTCCATCAATGCCAAGCTTAATGCACTTACAAGAGAAAGCACTTACAAGATCATCTATTTCAATATCAGAAATCATCATTTGTTAACATTTAACAATGTGTGTATATATACTTACACAAGAATAGCAATGACAGTAAAATAATTTTTTAGTAATTTAGATTACGTATTCTTTCGTTGTAACATTTTCATGAAGCAAACAGCAATGCCAATTTTTAAAGTATCTAAGTAATGTTTAATTCAATCAAACTGTATTCAAAATTATTTATATATAAATAAAGACTTTCCTGTTTTAACACGAATCTTTAAAAATTCTCCATATTTTGTTTCAGCAATTAGCTTAACCTTTGACAAATATATATTAATATAAGACTTTCATTTATAATCGTTTTCATTATTTTACTGCCACATGCAAGTTTTGTAGCTTAATACAACCCATTTTCATGCCATGTTAAAAGGACACAAAATGTACATGTAACATCATTGCAATAGTTGACTTGCACAAGTACTAAAACATCAGCACATATGCAAGCTAAAATTATTTACAAGGACATGCTCTTTAAATTCAGCACTGTCATTACAGCAAACGTTTGTAAGAAGTAATTTTGCACAAAACACGGGGAGAGGATACAAAGACAAGCCACAGATCATATTGATTCACCTTCCATAACAGCTTTCTACATTTTCAATTTCTCATAGTAGAAACAACAGTTGCATTTATTAAATTTGTTCTAAAACGTGTGTGCTTGCCCATGCAATATCTAAGTGCATATGACAGATCCCAGTCATTTTCAAATCAGTTCCAATTAACATGCACACAAATGGTACTTGGCAGGCCCTAGAACAGATCTTATGTAATTCAGCGATTCCGAATACCCCTTATACTTTCTGCAGAATTCACAGACTTCTTACACATTTATTAACAATATATTTAAATAATAATGCAATGAAACAATGAATGCATTTGGTAAAATAAACATCGAGAAAAAACACAATTGAGTGCTCCTAGTCTGTTTAGAATCACATTACCACTCAACTGGTTTTATCTCTAATTTCAACAGAGACATCAATTTGGTTAATGACCATTCAATGAATTACATTACAAATTAAGTGTGTGCATGTGTGGTAATAAAGTTATAAATCCAAAAGAGGAATTATTAATATTGAAATTATTCTCTCTTTACCACTGTTTGCAAGGGATGATATACATTGGTTTAATTTTGTATTTCACTAACTTGCTTTTAAAAAGCCCCATACTTTCCTTTTCCCACTAAAATTACAAATCTACAATGAGGCATAATTTTACAGCCCATAAGAAAGCTTCTATAGAAACTAGTTTTAAGTAACAAGGCTGCCATTCTTTTGTGAAAAATGTTAAGGCTTAACAAGCAAATTTAAACATTAAGTTTAATTCAAAATAAATAACTTTTATAAAATAAAAGGCATGCATAACAGTTTTGTATACTTTACACATTTTAGCTAACAAGTTTGAAATCTGCAGAAAGAAAATGCAATGATAAAGCCACACTTCTCATACACAAGATCTGCTCTTAGATACTTGCTTGTTACAATAATTATGCTTTCTACAGCTCGACAAGATACAGCAACATCACTTTTCCGAGGCCATGCAAAACTCAAACCTCCGGTTGTCCAAACAGACAAGAAGTCTTATGACAGTGTCTCGTCAAGCCGCAGGAGCGGAGGAACCAGGCTAAGGGCCAGAGGAGAGAGAGAGAAAAAGCTACAGTAGAGATACCTTCAACGCCAGCCTTGCCTTTGAGTGCGATGACCTTGCTGGCAGGGTTCATAATGGCAGAATCCGCAGAGATGGGCCGGCGAATGGGGTTTGTTGGGTCAGCCATATCAATTATCACCACTTGTGATGTTTCTCCGACTTTTTCACGCACACAGATAAATTTATCTGACTCCATGGTGAGAGTGTTGAAGCTCACGCTTGCTTGATTTATTCCTACATTTGTGAGCTGCAATAACCAAAAACAATTAATATATTTAATAATTAAAATTAAAATAATAAATAAGTTCAGAATTGTTCACAACAGACTCAAGGTAATTGTTTCATATCCGTGGCATAGGCAGAAAGCAGATCTTTGCCAAATACTTTCAAATTGGTGAGGGAAGAATCAATTCAACGATATATTATGAGCACCTAATAGAACAGTAGATGTTTGTGGTTTTTAAGTTATATATAAGGTGATTTGATTATTCAAGCACGGATTCATGATCTTCTCGATTCAGTAAACAATTTCCTTATTTCAGTTTCTTGACATTTAAAATTATTCATATAATTGAAAGCCATGATTTAGAAAGCAAAAAATGCTTACATGGGAGGGCACGACCTAAGTTTTGCAACACAACTGACAGCTGCCATCAGTGGCATAAAAAGAACCAGGAATAAGCTCTCGACACACACCACCTCAACAGGCCACAGTGCTTCCAAACCCTCCAAACCTTCCAAACCCTGGCCAGTGGGAGGGTGTAACATACAGAGGCATACTAGGTATCATCTTAGTGATTTTGATGTTCCTCGAGGTTGAGAAAGAGAGAGGCAATGTTTGAACACAGGTCCCACATAAATAATATAATAGGTTTTTAATGTTCTCACTGGAAGAAACTCAATTCACACCCTGCCGTAAATTTGGAGGTCTACAATTCTCAAGAAAGCTAAAGAATGTTTGCGACATGAAACAATTCTCTAAAAGCCACACGTTTCTTCTGTTCTATGCAACGACTTAAACAAGGAAATGCCTCAAATACCCAATAATATTAATACTACATTAGAGTCAGTAGAGAATCTTTTGGAATAATCAGAACCAAAATTCACACATTTCCTCTAAAATCTTCACAATATTCATATTCTGAGTTTTCAAGAGCATGGAAGGAAAATACTGCCACTTATCACCTGGAATCCCAGGCTAAGATACCTGCATATCTAGATTTACACACCTCTCAAGAAGCAATTCATAAGAATGGGAACAATAACCTGGAGACACACTTGGTGAAATAATGCAATAAAGAAATAATAGGCGGTCCATAACTTCGTAAAACTGAGGTTACACGGATTGTCTAGTTAATTAATCTCCTGGAGATTCTACAAACAGGGAAACTAAAGGGGCACTGTGGTATTTATGGTATACTATGGGTATTTTGGGCTGCTCAATTCAGGGGAGAGTGCATTGTCATTTCCTCCCCCCCTTACTTGTAAAACGCTTATTTATTACTCGTACATACAAGGGTGTTCGGGAGATA